GATAGTATTTCTTGGATTTTCTGTTTCATTTGCATTTCCTTAGATAAGCTAATTTGATGGAATAAAAGATCTAAAAGAAGAACAATGAATCTGCATGCCATGGACAGAATAAATGATGGATTTTTAGAGTATAAGAAACACACTTCTTTTAGTTATCTCATATGTGCTGTAGAACCTGAGGCAGAGTGGGTTTTTTTGAGATTTATTATAACTACACTTTCTAAACAGCTAGGAAACCATTTTTACCCCCAAATGAAGATGGTTTTAATCTATTCTCCTATAGCACCCATAATAAATTAGGAATATGAAGATTTTCCCTTCCAGATCACACCTGAGTTTTCTCAGGACACCAACCTTCAAGCTTGGAAAATTAGTATTCCTGTCACACCACTTGCACTTAGTTTAATTTGAAATACTGAATTATCAAAAGTAGAAGTCATCTATCTTGTTTATTCTACCTTATAATTGCTTCTGTATTGAAGTGTTCATATTTGCATAAAATGCCGAAAGTTTATTATAATGCTACTTTTTCATATTTTCCCTCTTGTGCAAGGAAATGGCAATCACTTCAGTAAGCATTTGTGTCAGTTATATGAAGACATTTCAGATTGTGTTATAACGTGTTCTAGCTTTACATTGATTTAGATAAGCAGAATTTCACGTTCTCCATTTTCTGTACGCTATAAATCACATCAGTGGTTTAAGTAAATTAGGAGGCTGTCATTGTAATAGAGAACACCAGAGACTCGAAACACTGCTGGTTAAGTAATTGGTGATGAATTGGTGATGTGTGTGTTTTAGTCTTCACCAGCATGGGCAGTTCCTGACATCACAACCATCTGTACTGAATAATGTTTCAAGAAGAGAAATTAATTAAAATAGCAGCTTTCTGTGACAAAAATAATGCACTTCTGAATGTAGAATAAGAGCAAGTCTTCTAATTTGTAATGTCTATAGGTAAAAATTGTATGAAATGAAGGGGAAGGTAAACACATTTTAATTTAACTTGAAGAATCCAGAGTGACATGGTTAATCCTGCTTAATGGATGTGTCACGAGTGTATTCCTGAAAATATTAAAATATGTGTCTGCCTTTATACTTTGTGAAATGCTAATGGATTGCACAAACTGTATCAGTGTTTCCTTTCTTATGATATTGTTGCCGTGGAATTTTGGTGCTGAAAAAATCTCCAGAGCAGTTAATTAGGAGTGAGATAAGAAAGGGTTTATTCTGCCAAGGCTGAGATGTTACAAGACGCGCAAAGGCCGTACCTGAGATGTTACATTTTATAATACCCTCCATCCAATCCCAGATGTGTCCACCCTGTGGCCTTTACTCTGGACCGCCCCAGGTCCACCCCCTGAAAAATGGGTCTGGGGGTTTTGGGACCATCTGTTCATCCCATCTTCATCTCCCTCAGAGCACAAAGGGTACATAGTTACCTAATTCTTGATCGTATTCTGCGTTTTAGGCCCTGTGCTGTTCTGCCAACAATCTAGGCCTTGCCTTGACAAAAGACTAAACATCTCTGCTGTATTCAGGGGTAGGATTGATATAGAGAGCATAGGATGGGGTAAGACGGTTAAGGAATGTGTAAACAAGGGTGCTAGAGAAAGGGAAAGGGACAAAGAAGTTGGGGGTTGCTGCTTTTAAAATCTACTTCCACTACTTATAAAACTTACAAGTCTTACAAATATTAGAAAAATAAAAAAACATTAGGGGCTTAAGGCATCAATATACTGATGGAAATGTTTCCAACTCTTCTTTAGAACACTTCTCTGTATATAAAACAAACAAATTCTTTTGTTGAAGAGAAAATTTCAGATATCTTGTGGGAAAACAGTATATGGATAAACAGTCAGAAAAATATTTTTAAACATTTAATATTCCAGAACTAGTTTAGAAAGCCATAATTTTTCTGTGCTAAACTATCTAGATTAGGAAAAACTGCAGAATTTCTTGACAAATTTGAAGACGAGAACTTTACAGAGGCACTGGCAGTTATTCAATTCTGTGAGGAACTGGGAGATAACAGATGCAACATACTAAAACATAGTTCTTGGGTTCCTCAGACTATCTCAATTTTTTTGGTGCTGAGAAGTGATAAGTGAATTATTTTTTTAAACTAGAATTTCATTCATAAATGATTCAGTGCAGGATTGATAGTCTAGAATTATCAGGTACACTTTAGAATGTAGTGGAACTGCAGCTGAAATAGATAACAGGAAAGAAAATGCTAGTAACTTCATTTAATCAGACTGCAGATGTTCCATAAATAAGTGATCTACTGTAATTCCTTGCCCCCCCACTAAAATTAGATCTTTCTCTGTAAATTAAGGACTATGGATTCTCTTGACTTGAGCACTAGTCCAGATCAATATATTTGTTATCAAATTGCAAATTATTCATTCATGCCTCCCTAATAAGTTCTGGATTTTATTTCAAGACAGAATTATATTTTAGTCCTGAAACTTTTTATGTTCTCTAGTTAGGTCTACTCCAACTGCCCAACCAATTCAAGACTGACCAAAAGTTAAAGCATGTTGTTAAGGTTACTATCCAAATGTCTCTTGAACACTGACAGACATGGGGCGTTGGCCACCTCTCTAGAAGCCTGTTCCAGTAAAGAAATGCTTGGAAAAGAAATACTTCCTAATGTCAAGTTCAAACCTCGCCTGGTGTAGCTTTGAGCCTCTCCCACACCTCCTGCCGCTGGGTGTCAGTAGGTTCAGCAGTTTCTCAGGCATTTGTTCTTTACTTGTACTACTTAGGTTCTTTCAAGTGCTATGTCTTTCTGTTGCCCGTAACCAAAAGAAACACAAACCAACAGAGTGCCGGTTTATGCGGTGCTTTATTCGGGGCCCCGGGAACCTGAGGACTAGCGTCCAAAGTCAGGATTCCGAAGACCCTCATTTTCAGTTCAGCTTTTATACACAAACAAGTTTACGTGCAGTTTCCACGGCAAAACAGTTACAGTTTCCACAGCAAACCAGGTGCAGTTACAAACAAGCTCATGCTCCATACTGATAACAATTAATAATCATCTACTCTAATCATAAATCTGCTTAAGTTGTCTTACCCCTAGAAACTGTTTAACAGACCTTAACCACATCCTAGGTAACAAATCGTTGCATACATGCCTGACTAGATCCTTTGATTATGGTTTCCACTTCACACACAAACAAAGTTGCTTTCTAGGCCTACTCTTCTACTAAGCCTTAGCCATTCTACTACTAATTTAAATTGCTGTGCAACATGTCCCCCCTTTTGAGCATTCTTCAGGCTTTGCTTGCAAGGATGCTCAAATACAGCAATCTTCAGGCTGTAGTTTCTTGGTAGGTAGGAGGTGATTCATTTTGCGGTGAGATTATTTCTTTTCTTGTTATAGCTTTCATGATGCGTCTCGTATGTTGACCTTCTTTTACAATCATTCTTAAAAGACACTTGTAAACAGTTATGGCTATGACAATAATTATTACAATTAATATTCCGTACTGGATAACAGAAGATATCTATCCTGACACATGAAGACCTAGGGAGCTGAATAATTGTCTTATCCAATTATGTTCTGCTTCTTTTTGCAGTTCATGAACATTCTCGTCAATTTGTTCTAATTGACTAATATCTTTTTCTACTTCTTGAGTGACATTTGGGATGTGTACACAACAATGCTCGTCCTTTGCATGCAGGTGGCCGCAAACTCCATGTTCCTTAAGTAATATTAGGTCTAATGTCATGCGGTTTTGTATGGTCATTCTAGAGGTGGCTTGTAATTGTAAATTTAGATCTTTAAATCCCTTCTTAGTGACTGCTGCTAACCTTTCAGTTTGTCCCATTAATTTAAACAACATTTCTCTGTTCCGGTATGTTGAGATTGGTGCAAATAGAGACTCTAATGCTCATCCAAATTTAACTCCTGCTGATGGTTCATGCCAATCTCCCAACCCCAGGTCATCAATATCTTTACCAACTTCTCTTTTCCTTCGTGGTTGTATTTCTACTGATGTTAACTTATCTTGCTTCCAGAATGGACAGAGAGTAGGTATCCCTAGTGTGACAGGTACAACTGGACCATCTATTGGCATGTGGGTGGTCCACTGACCATGTCCCACGACCCACACTAAATTTCCTGGGCTCTTAACTGTGGTGGTACGGCAATCAATGTTTTTGCTTGTTACCCATGTTCCAACTACTACCCATAGGAAAAATCCAGGCACTTGTTCACATTGTTTCTTAGTCATCTCGTTCTTGAGTAGACATGCATCTATCATTTCATTCCATGTTTTGGTTACAAATCTGCAATTCTACGTAGTATTCTTAAACACTTTAGGAATTTCTGGTACTGGAATTATTCCCCATGGGATTGGGTCTCCTGCAGCATGAGGCATAGGGAGACATGCAGTAATTTTTGTGACATTCTGTACTCTCCCAAAATCACGAATTAGGCCTACAACTAGGTTTTCTTGTTCTACTTCTCTATCTAGAATCTGCAGGTTACTTACTTGTCGGGTTATTCTTTCAATCCTTACGTGGACGACAGTAATTCCAGTATCTCACCAGTCATCTTTACTTATCTAGCAAGTATATTGGCCTTCATCTTCTCCTCTTTGTATTTCTTTGATTTTCAAAACTATTGCGTCTGCTCTCTTTCCAATCTGATGTCTCTTCCCAACTTTCAAGTTCTGTCCCTTAAACCACCACCCATATTCAGAATACTGTCCTTCTGGAATTTTGCAACTTAGAATCAGATCTCTTCCTTCCTGGGTCGAATAAACACTATGTTCTGGTCTAACTCTTATTCCTTGATGTGATACGGCTACTGCTGTCCTTATCCCGTGATCTTTTTCTTCTCCACATGAGACTACACAAAGAAATGTACCTTCTGTCTTTCCTACTCTGGGATTAGAAATATTCAGCCACCCTTTACCTCCTTTACTATTTGACCACCAGCTAACTCCTTGACTTTGTGATTCCCAAGATTGATTTGCCACATTTAATTTCTACCACTTTACTTTAACTGATTTTCGACAATCATCAAATTGGAAGGTACAATTGATTTTTAAAGGAGGACCATCCCACATGTCTGATTGTTTCCTAGTGGGTAAAACTCGCACTTTGGTCACTGTCTTCTGAGTCGTGTTTATTGTCTGTATTTCTATATGTCCATAATCAAAACTTTCCCAAATCCAAACTACACACATATATGTCTCTTCCATAGCTTTGTACACTTTGGGTACCTGCAGAACGGTGTAACCTTTTTGTTGTGTAGCATCCCAAACTGTTGTCACTCCTTCTGTCATGATTTGGTCTTGATCTCTCCATCTCCACTTGACATGGACATCTCTTAATTCAGCTCCCTGGTCATCTGAAAATAGACAAGTTAAGTTTACATCAGTGTGTTCTGGTACAAATAAATAAGGATCTGGGGTCTCAATTCTCACGGTGGTTTCTGCTAAACTTATCAACCCCAGGAACACTATGATCCTCAATGGTTGGCTCGAAATACCATTCTTGTGGGTGAGAGAGGTTCTACCGACCACGAAACTGGAACTTTCTTGACCCGAGTATAATGGATCCAGCTGTCGATTCCTTCGACTTTTACTGCGGTGTAGGTCGTCATTATCACCTGGCGAGGACCGTCCCATGTTTCTTTCAGCGGCTCCACCGACCAGTTTCTCACGTAGACATGATCTCCCGGAGAAATGTCGTGCACTGGATTCTCCAGGGGCAGAGGTCGATTCCACTGCAATGCTCCTCTGAGGGCTGTGAGAGTCTTATTTAAAGATAACACATAATTAAACACTGCTTGATCACCTACTATATGAGGATCCCCTTGGTAAGTAGCTGCATGATAAGGTTTGCCATATAATATTTCATATGGACTTACTCTTATTCTCTCCCTTGGTTTGATCCTAATTCTCAACAAGGCAATGGATACTGCTTGGGGCCACGGAATCTTTGCCTCCTGACAAATTTTCTTCAATTGACCTTTCAATGTCTGATTCATCCTTTCAACTTGTCCACTAGACTGTGGTCTCCATGGTGTATGGAGATTCCATGTTATCCCTAATACAACTGACACATCTTGTACTATTCCTGCTATAAAGTGCGGTCCTCGATCAGAGGACAACCCTAGGGGAACTCCAAATCTTGGGATGATTTCCCTCAAGAGAGTTTTTACCACTTCCTTTGCTTGATTAGTCCTACAGGGAAAAGCCTCAGGCCATCCTGAAAAGGTGCAGACATATACTAACAAATACTTATAGGATTGGGCTTTAGGCAACTCAGAAAAATCTACTTGCCAGTAATCTCCCGGTAACTGACCTATCTGTAATTTTCCCATCTGCACCTGCTTCCTGACTACTGGGTTATTCTTTATGCACATAGGACACATTGCATTTACCCTTTTTGCCAATGTTAACATCTGCTTTGAGAGAACCTCATTTTTCAAAAATTTTACCAATGCTTCTGCACCCCAGTGGCACTTATTGTGTTCTGTTTCAAGCACTGCTTTCATTATTCTGACAGGTAGAATCACTTGTCCTATGGGGGAAATGTACCACCCTTTAACATTTTTTCTTTGCATTTGTCATTTGAGCTAATTTCTCATCTTCCTGTGAATAATGTGGTTTTTCTTCCATATATGGTATTGCTGGATTATTTCGAACAGGCAAAAGAACCATCTGAGTCCATACTTCTCTTGCGGCCTGCTTAGCCGCTTGGTCCGCCTGTCGATTACCTCGAAATTCTCGTCCGGGATCTCTCTGATGTCCTTTTACATGCATTATTGCCACTGCTGAGGGCTTGTGTATTGCCTCTAGCAATTGTAAAATTTCTTCTCGATGTTTAATCGTTGTCCCTTGAGAAGTAAGAAGTCCTCTCTCTTTCCAGAGTACTCCGTGAACATGAACTACCCCAAAAGCATATTTGGAGTCAGTCCATATGTTAACTCTCTTTCCTTGACTTAATATTAAAGCTCTCACCAATGCCTATATTTCGGCCTTTTGTGCAGACGTACCTGGGGGTAGTGCATTTGCTTCTATCACTTCTTGTTCAGTGACCACTGCATACCCAGCATACCTGGTGCTGTTCTCCACAAAGCTAGATCCGTCAGTGAACAATTCCCAGTCAGGATCTGTCAATGGCTCGTCCTTCAAGTCTCTTCTGCTCGCGTAGACTTGTTCAATGGTCTCTACACAGTCATGCTCCAGGATACCTTCTTCCTGTGTAGACCTAAGGAATTCTGCTGGGTTGAGATGGTTAGTGATTTTCAGTTCAACATCATCTTGTTCTCTCAACAAAGCTTGATACTGTAACATACGGCTAGATGAGAGCCAATGCCCCCCTTTTTGTTCCAAAACTGCTATGACCATGTGGGGTACGTACACTACCATGTGTTTTCCCAGAGTCAATTTTCGTGCTTCTTGTATTAAAATAACCGTTGCTGCCACAGCTCTGAGACACCCTGGCCATCCCCCACTTACTGCGTCTAGCCGTTTGGAGAAATATCCAACAGGTCTTTTCCAGGATCCTAGACGCTGAGTGAGGACTCCTAAAGCCATTCGTTGTCTCTCGCAGACATAGAGCTGAAACTCCTTGGTTGGGTCCGGCAGTCCCAGGGCAGGTGCTTCCTGGAGGGCTCTCTTCAATTCCTGGAACGCTTTCTCTTGCTTCGTCCCCCAGGTCAGCTTGGGCTCCTTTACTGCTTCATATAAAGGTCTGGCAATTAGTCCGAAGTTGGGGATCCACAGTCTGCACCATCTGACCATTCCTAAAAAAGATCTCAGTTCCTGATTATTTCGGGGCATAGGGATAGCACATATTGCTTGAACCCTATTTGTTCCTAAACGCCGGGTTCCTTGGGAGATTTCACATCCCAAATAAATAACTTTCTGTTTTACTAGTTGTGCTTTTTCTTTTGAGACTCGATGGCCTGCTTGCCCCAGCATGTTTAACAGTTCAATGATTAATTGATGGCAGAGTCCCTGCTCTGTATTTCTCAAAAAGATGTCATCAACATATTAAAGTATTATATATGAAAAAAAGAGATTCTTTTACCTGAGTAGTCTTCCATTCTTCAAGTTCCTTTGCTAACTGATTACCAAATATCGTGGGTGAGCATTTGAATCCTTGTGGTAATCGAGTCCAAGTAAGCTGTAGCTTCCGTCCAGTCTCTGGGTTCTCCCATTCAAAGGCAAAGATTTTCCAACTTTCCCGTGCCAGTGGTATGCAGAAGAAGGCATCCTTTAGATCAATCACTGTAAACCACTGAAATCTCTCAGAAACAGATGTTAACAAGGTGTAAGGGTTAGCTACAACCGGGTGGATGTCTTTTGTGATACGGTTTACTGCTCTAAAGTCTTGCACTAACCTATACTTACCATTTTGCTTTTTATCGGAAAAATGGGAGTATTAAACTCTGACTCACATTCTTTTAATATCCCTAAAATTAAAAACTATGTGATCATAGGAGCTATTCCTTTCCTGGCTTCTAAACTAATTAGGTATTGTCGCACTCTAACGGGTTGTGCTCCTTCTTTCTCTTAAAGAAAACAAGTAAATATCTTCACTGGCTTCTAACTATATATCGGCATAAAAACTCTCCTCTGGGCAAAAGGGTTTTTATTGCTAACATACCAAGTTAAAAGTTCACAGACCCAATTCTTAAAAGTACCATATATGGGCCAGTAAGTATTATTTCCTATTCTTCTACCTCCCCACACTTCAATACAATACTTAATCATTTTCTCCTTTGATCTTCTATAAGTGCTGGAATAACAACTCCGGTTCTCTAAGAGGTTCCCCAAGGGACTTTCAGGGGGAATCCTCAGCGTCCTAGCCTCAAAGTCACCTTTTACTAATCTTCTTATCAGAGGGCTATTTGTAATCTCTCTCTGAGGTTCCTCTTTTTTTTTACTACTTTTAACTTCATTCAGAGGTTCCTCTTTTAACTTCTCTAAAAAGGCTGAAAGAGATTCTCCCCTATTCCGTCCCACCGAGCACAGCCCTGACCAGTCCAGCGTCCCTGGTATCTCACTTTGCACTCCCTCCACCAACAATTCTCGGTAAATTCTCAACTTTCTACAATCTCCAGACACATTTGGATCTCACCCGGGATCCTCCCGCGGCACAAAATCATCCACTGCTCCCCCCGCCGCCCGGGACAGAGTTCGCATTCTTTCTTTCGCTCTTTCCACCATCACTCTTAATACCATTTCTTTTTCAGTTGAATCTAGAATTGTATCTAACAATACCTGTAAATCATTCCAGTCTAGATTTTGAGTTTTTCTAACCATTTTTATAATACAAGTCACCTGCTCCAGATTTTCTCTGTATGACCCAGCTGACTGTTTCCAAATTAATATATCATTAGGTAAAAAAGAAACTTTCATCATGACTTTTCTCCCGTCCGCTCCAACTGCTTCCCGCGAAGGGGCCATTAATCTCGGGGGTGAAAGCGAAACTTCCCTCAACTTTCCCCCCCCTCGCTGTCTTTCTCTACTCCTCCCTCGTTCTCTTCGTGCTCTCCGCGTTCGTTCAGCTAAAGGAGTTCTATCAAAATCACATTCTCCCTTTTCTCTTTTCTTCCTCATCCGAGGACGACTCTAGCGGGGGCATGGTGGGTGATTGTGCCCTCACACGTGAAGGGAGACTATCTCCCGAGGGCGCACTTGGAGTTCTACCGGGGGAGACTAACAAAGACACATCTTCCTCTGGTTCTGAAAACCGTATTTTCCGCTCATATTTATCATCCAATCCTTTCAATATCATTATACTCCGCTCTTGACATTCTTTACATTTATCATCCTCCAGTTTCAGTTCTTTCAACACTAAAATACCACATTCCTTTTGCCACTCAGTGTTATGTTCTAAATAATAAAACAAGTCCAGATACGGTATTTCATCCCACTTCTCATTCTCTCGTAAATATCGCATCAAAGGGGTTATAATTTCCAAAGTCAATGAACCATTTCTAGGCCACTGCATTCCTTCTGTCTCATATTGAGGCCATACATTATTACAGTAATCAATCAATTGTTTCTTGTTTAACTCTTGTCCAAAATTTCCCTCCTTCCAATGTTTTAACAAGCAACCAAGCGGAGAATCGCTAGGGATATCTTTTTCTGCACAAGATAATGCTCTAAAAGTTTTAAACGGCATCATACCGGCTCACACATACACCGTAATGTGAATTCCTCAAATTCACAATACACCACAATGTGAATTCCTCAAATTCACAATACCACAACCATACAAAACAATACGTTTAACGACCAACACGACAACACAACAACATAAACCAAGTACATATTCCAAAACCAAAACCAAAACCAACTCGCCAATTCTCCCTCTGAGTGGCGAGTGCTGGTACAGCGCGGCTTTCGCTACGTCTTACGACCAGCGCCTAGGCTTCCCAACCGAGGTACCTTTAGCCCAACCTAGCGGGTAACTTGCGGTCCCGTCTTATAGGCAGGCTCCCAACCAACAAACCTAAAAGAATAAAGCACCTCCGGGCTTACCTGGATGGGTTGTCCGGCGGGCGCGGGGTCGGGCACGGGTCGATGTCTCCCCAGAAATCACCTGGTTGCCGGCGTGGAGTAGATCAGCGCGTGAGCCGCCCCAGCTACCCCCGGAGTCCCCAGTCTGGGTCGCCAGAAAACTGTTGCCCGTAACCAAAAGAAACACAAACCAACAGAGTGCCGGTTTATGCGGTGCTTTATTCGGGGCCCCGGGAACCTGAGGACTAGCGTCCAAAGTCAGGATTCCGAAGACCCTCATTTTCAGTTCAGCTTTTATACACAAACAAGTTTATGTGCAGTTTCCACGGCAAACCAGTTACAGTTTCCACAGCAAACCAGGTGCAGTTACAAACAAGCTCATACTTCATACTGATAACAATTAATAATCATCTACTCCAATCATAAATCTGCTTAAGTTGTCTTATCCCTAGAAACTGTTTAACAGACCTTAACCACATCCTAGGTAACAAATCGTTGCATACATGCCTGACTAGATCCTTTGATTATGGTTTCCACTTCACACACAAACAAAGTTGCTTTCTAGGCCTACTCTTCTACTAAGCCTTAGCCATTCTACTACTAATTTAAATTGCTGTGCAACACCAGGACACTGAGAATACATAACTCTTCAATCACTGCAACTTGTCACCTCTTGTTCTTCGTGCGGGGGGGGGAGGAAGTGTAAATTCCTATTTCAGCCTTTTAGAGTGACCTTCTCCAGTGTTTGTGATGCTTCAAGGACAGATTTTTTTCGTGTATTTTAGTGTTTCCAGAAGATAATTGTATATAGGAACAGCTCTGCACTAAATAAAATACTCACTTTGGGCTTTGGTAGCTCTTCACCCTCATTGGTCATAAAATTCCAGTCTTGAAAATCCAGACCCAGGAGCTGGACAACATCCTTGAAAGACTGTGAATAATCTGTGTATTTGAATTGGCTTTATAAACCAGCTTGGGAAAAGGTGCTTCAACAGGATCCTGTTTTGTGGGAAATAGTTGCTTCTGCATTTTTATGTGCCATCTGTAAGTGAGCATTGATTATTCCTCTGTATTTCCTTATATTTTGAGATAAGTCGATTTATATTGGTTGATTAATGATAAAACCAAAAAGGAGAGTCATTGCTTTAAATTTAAATCCCATGTGAAGGCTCTAAATTTAAACCACTTTAAAATAATAAGAGAAAACTTGATCTTTGTGAGTTTTGTTTCACTTTGGTGTAAGCAATTTACCTTTAAAGCAATAGGGAATTTTCAAATTTGTTTATCTCAATCTAAGTTTTATTACAGAAGCTGTAGAAAATGTTTACTTTCATCCTGTAGTGCTTACATCTGAATATTTTCCATCATACTGTTACAAGAGTAGCTTTTGAGAGTGATGTGGCTTTGGGTCAGAGATCTCTGGATAAAGACACCTGCTCCAATTTCACATCAACTCCTTCATGGGTTGAAGAATTCAATGTTTTGAGTATTTAATAATTTATTTTTTTTTACCTTTAGGAAAATAAATAATTTTTTAATGTAGGTTGTAGTTCCTCAGCCCGTGTGAGTCACTGGAAGATGAAGCCATGTGCTCCCCACTTCGGTTGCACCTGGTTTTATTTTGTCATTTCCATGGTGCACTGCACTCTGCCTCTGTCTCAAGTAAATTGAAAATGTATCATTTGGTTTGAAATGCTGCACAGCAGTTAAGAAATTTATTTGTTAGCATGTACATAAATGGCTGTGATGAATGGGCTGTCTGAGGTGTGCAGATAGTAAATCTATCATCAGCTTCCCAGGGTAAAGCGTGGAAGATGTCTCTATGCTATACAACCATTCATCTTCTTTATAGAAACTGGCTGCATAAAGATGAGTCTGTAGAGAATTAATTGGTGTGGATCTCCATGAATCACAAAATACTCTCTAAAATAAGTTTTCAACTTGCGTTTTATCAAAACTCTACATTTTTCTTCTTGCTGGTTCTGGTGGTTTCCAGTCAGTGCTCCAACAGTGACAGTCTCCCACTGTGCCATCACTCTGAATAACCTCACCACTGCAGCCTCTCTGAAATACTGTTGTTGTAATTGTTATGTATTTATAGTTTAAGCATTCTTGGCATTTGGCTGCTTCCCCTGGTCCCCGAATCTGACTGTCAGATGCAGCATTTTTGTATCAATTCAGTGTGAAATCCCAGCTGCTAAACTCCATAAACATTAAACATTTATAATTGAAACCTATCATGGGCATCCTTGGATATAGAGGGTTTTTTTAATATAATGTGCCTTTAGCTGTCATTTCAAAGTAACAAAACCTATAAATGACTGTGGCTACCAGCAGTTCTGTTTGCCCACTCCCAAAAAAAGGTGTAATGTGTAAATGGAGGGGTTTTTCCCCTCCTTGTTCTTCTCTTTGAATATATTCCAGCTAATTTCAAGCCAGGCCAGCCTGCATGTTTTAGAGCTAATTGAAAGGCAAATCTGTTCTGCTGCAATAAACAAGACAAGCGAAATTTTCTCCCTGAGCCACAGTTTTAAAAATAATTTCATGTCAAATCTTGGCTGAGAGATTCAACCTGCATCCTCCTAAACAGGCTTTGGATCCTATGGAAAGATCACTGTAGTCCAGCTCCTCACTGCTTAAAATTTTGGCCCATTCAGTGGAAGGTACCACGTGGTGCTGGCAGGATTTCTTACACAAAAGGGATTGCTCAGCACATGGGATGGTCTTGGGTGATGGGGTTAATTAATTTAGTTACCCTGAATGGAAACATTTTACATTAAGTTATTTTAGGCTACCAAAAGAAAACCATAATATGGTCAAGAGTTTGAAGCTTTGCTGACTTATTATACTCCTTTCAGCTCTTAATTCAGCACACAGCTGACATAACACTGCTGTAATCACCCTGAAACAATGAGTTGGAGATATTTTGGGCAGTTGCTGACTGCTTGGAGAGATGCTTTTCAGAGGCTTCCTTAGAATGTCACCCCTGGTTTCTTACACAAGCCCTGCCTTTAATTTGAGGTTGTAATAAACCCAGCTTGGCTCTGCAGCAGAGGGGCTGTGCTTGGGTTCATAACCCCTTGATTTGGGGCAGGAGCAGCCCCTTTGCTCTGTACCTTGTAGTTTTCTATAAAACATCCCAATCTTGTTCTTTAAAATACAGAAAAAAGAATAAATTTATTTAATAAAAATTAAAGTAAATAAAAACAAAAATTAATAAAAATAAAATTAATTTGCAATGTGTGTTATGGCTTATTCCTTCTTTATAATTCCTGTAAAATGACAAAGAAATTGCTGGGATGACCAAGCGTCCTGCTCCCGGCCAAGCCCTTGAGCATCCTCCTTGCTGCTGGAGCCCAGGGAGGACTTTTTTCCACAGGCATAAGTTATTTTCCTGTATCCTTCCATTCCTTTTATTGCCTTTTCCCCTTAGTGACCTGTGCTAACTTCAAAGCAAAACATAGATGTTTGAGGTTTGGTTGTGCTTGATCTCAGTCTCAAAATTATTCTTTTTTTTACCTTGGGAAAGTTTGAGAAGCATCTGTCCAGTTCTTCATGTCTCCTTCTTCGTCTTTCTCAGCTGTGCAGGTATAAAAATCCTCCTAATTCCAGCTCTTTCTCTGCACTACCTATCTGGATCTTATAACTTGACAATTATATGGAATCGTATTTATTCAGTGGCCCTTGGTGGTTTCCAGGTCCCAGCACTGAGCCATGCCCATGCTGTGTGTTGCCATGCCCATGCTGTGTGTTGCGTGGCAGCATCCTGAAAACCTGTGATCTGCATTTTTTTATTTAATACCTGTCAGCAAGTTGAACTGAAGTGTAACCTTCCCATAATGTCTCCCAGCCTGCTAAGCTGTGGGGTGACATGGCACATCCTTTGTCCCCGACTGGGAATCAGTGTGTGGTTTAGCAGGTGGGAGACAAGTTTTCTCCTTTTTCTTTTTTTTCTGAAAACGAAAGTGTTGAACCTAAAGAAGAGACGTATATATGTGCAGAAGAATAATTTAAAGTGAGCTTCAGCATTTCTGCACCGGTGAGCTCTCCCTTGCAGGGGTGGGGGATCATGTTTGCTTCTCCCGAAGCACGTTGTTGTAAGGAAATTTTATACAGCTTTGAGCCTCAAGAGGTTCAGTGAGGCATGTTACATTAAACCTGAGTGCTTTAATTGTTCCTTTCTCCGGGGAGGATCCTGTAACAGCACCTATGAGCCCCTGCAGCTTTCTTTTGCTTGTGAACTGGGATGGCAAATATTCCAGCCAAACTCCTGATGGACCAGCTGAGCCCCAGCCAGGCAGGGATTTTGTGTTGATACTCCATGGACAATAGCACAAGCAGTGTTATCTCAGGGCTGTCATCTCCTGCTGAATCAGCAAGGATGGTGAGAGCGTGAGTTCTGTGCTGTGGATGTGCAGCACTGGGCTGGGAACCTCTGGGAGATGTGAATAGAGGACTGTGGACACCACCAGCCCAGATAAACACCTGGGCAGCAATCACTGAGTGTATTCCCTGCCACTTCCAATATCTCATGTGAGACTTACTCCTAAAAAGTGAGTCATTTATGTTCAAGATGGACTCAAATGGAAACACGTGGAAAATCAATTTTTGCCACGTTGTGAAATGAGAGCAACGGGCTCCGAAGAAAGACCCATTATATAGTGACTTATGATCTATTTTTAAGGAATTCCTGCAGGTGCCTGACTCCTGCTTGAGAGTGGCTGCGGGATCTCCCTCTCTTTCTCGATGCTGGAAGATGATGGATTTTGCTTTCTGCCCAGCTTGGACCTGTGCCCTCAGTTTCTGGTGTTGCCTCTTCACCATCTGCTCTTACTGGAGGAACCTGGGTGGCACCTGTAGGATGATTTTTTTCGGCAAATAGTAGCAGTTCATAATATCAGCACCTAAACTGACTTTTTTTCCCCTGATCAAGCTCTCCCTGGCTTGAGCAATACCTCAGCCAGGCAGGATGTCTCCAGCATCGTGTGCTTGGCTGGGTGCCTCGGGCACTGCATGCTCTGCTTCTCCTCTCAGGTTTGATTTGGAGCTGTGTAAACCTCAGACGTGCTTAAAATGAAAATGGGTTTTATTTGCACAAAGCAAAGTGGGAAATGTAATTATAAAACCGAGGCACTGGGAAAGCAAAGAGAAAGCGAGTTCAGGCTTAAACCCTACAGGACACAAAGCTCATAGTCTTGCATAATCTTTGTGTTCAGTTTTCATCCCAGAGAGAGCTCCTCATAGCTGGTATCTTAGGTTTTTTGTTGACAATCCAGTACTTTTGGTCATTTGAAGGTGGGATGGGGATTAAATCAGCGCTAAATCTGGATGCTCCAGAACTAATCTGAGCAATCCGAGTATTGGAAATCCTCTCACGACAGTTTCCCTCATTCCTCTGTCTCCAGGAGCTCTCCACCTTACCTTTGGCTTCAGGTGCAGTACGGAGCATTCCCTAGTTTTTGCCAGTCCCATATTCTTTGCCAGTTGTGTCCATGCAGGAGTTGCATGTTGCTTCCCAATCCTTATCAGTCCATTTTTTTCCCTTTTTCTCCGTTCTGTTTGCAAACACTTTCTTCTACTGTACTCTTTCAATTAGACTATCGCTTTTAATCAGACTGGCTTTCTTCCCCCGACTGCATTTTCTGAAGTGACATGAAACTGTGTTTTGGTCGTGTATTTTGGAATAAGCAATATGCCTGTCTAAGTAAATACCCCATCTTCCAATCTTCAAGATGTTTCATGAGAGGTATCTGCAGCTGATAGCTGATGATTGTGCAGGTCCTTTGTTTTATGGAGTGTTTTATAGAGCTGGCAGCCTTGGCTGCTCGGGTGGTGTGGTGTCTCGCCCAGCCCCACCACTGCAGACTAGCCAAGGATAAGGACCTACCACGAGCATCACTCTGGGCATTTACAATTTATTTTTCCTTTCCGCCCGCTCCTCTCTTAATCTCTAGAAGTGGAAAATTAGGAAGAATTTAGTGTAATGACACAAAAAATACAGGCGTTTATGGGGCTGCTGGGTGCAGGAGGTGTTTATAGCAGCTCTTCATGCAGTGTGTTCTCATCCTGGCTGCCACAGCATCCATGTGGGTGAGGATCAGGCTCACAGGTGGTTGAGTAAGGGCAGGAACCAAATTCTCTGCAATTCTCTCCCTTTGATGTTTGTTATTTTTTTAAAATAACGATGACCGCTCTGGACATCACTGGAAAAGCCTGATGTTTTAATTAAGAACTCAGGTTTTGAGGGCATTTATAACTCACTATGTTAAATTACAGAAGACTGAAACTTGGCAGATGCTGAAGCAATTTCAGGATCCCAGTCTGCAGGCTCTTCATCTAACAGGAGCAGCAGGAGATGTTATTTCCTAGCAGTAGGATGCAGTGCTCTAATTCCTTCAATTAGTGTTGCCTGTTTGGAAGCTTCGCTGCTGGTGACAGTGAGGCATCTTCCAAGGGGCTGGCTTTGTCTTTTCAGCATCAAAAGATTTTATGTTTGTTTCCAGGGCCTATATCACAGACCTCAAGGTGGAGCAGTTAATGAATTAATGTGTTGTAATCAATATTCAGCAAAATTTGGAAACACAAAATAAAAAAGCATATCTTTTTAATTCATTCTCCGTGACTATCAAGATTGCTTTTTTTCGGCCAGTCAGAACATACATGATTTCTCTAAAATTATCATCTCCTTCCTGAAGGGAACGGAGTTGTTGCATTTGAGTGGTAAAGTGCAGCAGACTGGGAAGCACATCAGGAGGACTGAAAACAAGGTGATCTGTGGCCTTTCTGTTCCAGGCTAGAAAGGCCCTGATAAGGTCATTCAGTGACTGAGAGTGAGGGTCAGGTTGAGGGTGACCAAGCTCCTTTCAGGTGTCTTTGATCCATTCTGTGGGTAGTGGTGAGAGATCCCCCAAAATATGAGTTCCATATTTTGACTCACCTATGACTCCAAACGCTTTATTTTAGGGAAATATTGCCAAACATGCAGACTAATCCAGTGCATGCTTTGCTTTCAGGTGGTCCTACCACGACTTTTTAAAGAGGTATCGTGTGCTTATGAAGAAGACAGACCTCGCTAAGAACGACAAGAAGCAGATCTGTAAGACCCTGTTGGAAGACCTCATTAAGGTGAGCTGGGACCAGATCTTTGGCAGTGATTTTAACAGCGCAGAAGTTGGTGGCCTTCGTGTGCGCTGAAGTTGCTGCTCCTGCTCCAGCTTCACCTGCTGCTTGTGCAGGTGCTTCTTCATCCCGGGCAGCCTGGGGATTTTTTCCAAAATGAGATAATCTTGCAAGGAGGCAGAGGGAGCAAGCGTGACATGGGATCTCATGGTTGTGGTCAAGATGCACGTACCATTCCAGTGCTGGTGAAGTCCTGAGTTTGCTGTCACTGGCTGGACATGATCAACTGGCCACTTTTTAAAAATGTGACATCCCAACCCCTCCTTCTGTTTTTGGCTAGCCATAGCTGGAGCATGTGTTAGAGCTCCAGCTTGGGACAACATCATGAACCTTAATGAATCATTAAATTACTCTTTGCCTTAACGAGTAAGAGAAAAGTGCAATAAATGCCTTATCTTGATGTATGGGAGACTTGTAATAGCCCTATGTGGAAAAAGCATCCCATAGATTGGGATTCTTTTCCCATAAGCAAATTGGAAGTTTTTGCCCCCTCTCCTTACCAAAACCTTGCCGCTCCTCCGTGCTTTATTTTTAAATAGCAAATGTGCACGCAGAGGTTTCTTGCTGTTGGGTAGCCCCAAATTTGCACAACACCTTAGCCAGGTTTTAATGTTTGATCTCTTGTTTTCCTGTGGTTTTTGAGGAGTGTACCTAACTGGATTCCTCTCTGCAAAAGCTGTTTTCCTTATGCGCCAAGTGTTTCCCTTGGCTGCAGCACCTTTTGAATGACTTTGCAGATGAAAACATTAATCTTTTTTAGAAACAAATCCTTTCTTTAAATGCTCTGATGTTGCATTTTTGGTTTAGAATGTGTCCCTGCCCATGACAGGGGCACTGGAACTAGATGATCCTTAAGGTCCCTTCCAACCCAAACCATTCTAGGATTCTATGATTTCTCTATTCAACTTTAAAGAAACCCAAGAAAAAAACCAAACAAACCAAATACAAACCAAACCAAACCAAACCGAAAACTTCCCAAGCCATTCAAAATCTGTGTAAATACATGGAATTTAAGACTGAATTGTAGTGCTTGAGTAGCTTGGGGTCTAGTAATATCTTCATCACCCAATTAAGAAGGGATGTGAGCTGACAAATTTTATTCAAAGGGGGATTTTTACTCTGTGTCTTACTGAGCAACACAGACTGAAAATAAATAAATAAATAAATAATGTTTACGTTAATTAAATGTCGTTTCCCTTGTGCTTTTGAAAAGGATCCAGACAAGTTCCAGTTTGGACATACCAAGATCTTCTTCCGCGCAGGCCAGGTGGCGTACCTGGAGAAACTGCGGGCAGACAAGTTCAGAGCTGCCATCATCATGATTGAGAAGACGGTGCGGGGGTGGCTGCAGAGGGTCAAGTACCAGAGGCTGAGACAAGCCACAGTCGTCCTCCAGCGCTACACACGCGGGCACCTGGCACGGAGGTGGGTCGTGGGGAGCCCTCCGAGGAAAGAGCTGGCTGGGAACTCGAGTGTAAAAAAACCACCTCTGCCCACTCGTGCTTTCGATTTTCCGTCTTGTAGGTCTTCAACTTGAGGTTTTCGTACAAAAACACCTTTGAAAACGCCCTGCGTGGGGTGTTGCCTTTTAACCCCTTGAATGTAAGGCACGTACTGTGCACGTGGATAACAATGTAGTGAAAGTTTCTGTGCTGAAGTCAGGACTCGTTCCTGGTCCCTCTCTTCAGCTTTACTTGGGGGCAAGAGATAAAAATTCTTTACCTCAAACTGGTTTCATGTCTACACTAGTTTAGTTTCTAGGTGCTGGGCCAAGGTCATAGCATAGGCAGCTGGGTTATAATCGGATGACTAAAGTACTCTGAAGTATTTAGGTGAAGGTATTTCACAGAACTAATATTTTCCTGGGACTACCTGTGGTAAAGGGCATTTGGATCAGCCAGGGAGCAGTTGGCTAGTTGATATGCACTGTCTTCTGCAGGGACCAGCTTTGTTCCTCCTTAATGTCCAAGGGGAGCTCTCAGAATTGATTGGCTGTATCCTTTTTAATGAGAAAAATCACTCCGAATCACTGGCAGTGGGGCTGTTTGCAGTACAGAATAACAGAGCTCAGTGTTTAACTCTTCATGTGAAGGAACCTCAAGCTCCCTCGTGCCAGTGGCTTGCTGGGGTTTCTGTAGATAACACTGTGCTGGGCTGCTGGTGTCAGATGTGTGGTGAATGTGAGGGAGCAGAAAATCAAAGGAATAGCGTCCCAACACAGCAATCACTTTCCATCTCTTGCCCCTTATTCAAGTCTGACACTGCTGTGTACAGTCACACTGTGTTTTGGAAGAGCGTCAGAGGTACTGGCTGAATTTGTGGTGTTACTTGTGATTGTGAAAGGGATTGGTGTCATGGAGAATCCAGGGATGAGAAGGTCTAGGAGAAGCAAAGATGGGCAGTTTGGTGACTTTTATTTAAAACTGAGTGTGGGTTTTTCTTGTATTCATAAGTCCACATTACTTCTCTAGAAGTCCACGTACTTCTCTTTGCCAGCCTTGCAGCCTTGGACAAGGCAAATGAGACCTAAGCAATAAGAGAAAGGTTAAGGAAAAGGGAGAGTTGGAAGTGTTCAAGGCCAGGTTGGGCAGAGCTTGGAGCAACCTGGTCTAGTGGAAGGTGTCCCTGCCCATGGCAGGGGGGTGGATGGAGCTGAGCTTTAAGGTCCCTTCCAACCCAAACCATTGTGAGATTAACTTGAGCCTCTCAGATGAGCTCTCCATACACACCTACAGACTTGGACTTTACATCTCACTTTGCATCAGTCAACCATTCCTCTAGGGAGAGGAGGAGGGATGCCTGCTGATGTCAAAGTGATGGGATATGAGCTAAAAGAGAGGCTGGAAGCAGACATGTAAAAACCACCTACTGCAGTGTTTCTTCTTTATGATTTTTCAGTTCCCCTCTTCATGCAGGTTTCATAGGGAATGGATGGCATCTGAATAACTGCTGTCTCCTCTTTTTGGAGACAGACCATCCCTTATCCTCTTTAGTAAGCCCTGGTTCAGCAGGTCCTAATGAGAAGCTATTGACCTTGATCAAGTGAATATATAAACCAATACGATGTGGCTCTTAGTTTTGATGAGCTTTTCACAAAATTGAAGTGGATCTGTATAGTGCTTCATGCTGAGAGCAATAAATGAATCATAAATTCAGCAAAACAAGCTACTTATCAAATGAAATGGAGGTCTTATGGGCATTTATTAACTGGTGTAACAACAAATTGAGCATGAGTTCAGTTGGGGAGTGGGAGCCACGTGGTGGAGAGTTGACCACATCCCTTATTATTTACTCTCTGTGAATTGCTTGAGGCTCTGCTCATAAATGCTGCCAAACCAGTGCACACCAGTTGAAATGTCAAATCTGTTTGCTGCTGTTTTCACTGAGTCAGTAGGTACCCCATGCAAAATGGGCTTTTTATAGTTAGGGAAGTGATGGAGCCAACCGTGACATTGATTGGCTCGGGTAAATAAGGCAGAGAGATCAAACCAGGAAAAACCTGGGGAAATACTTGTTTTCAATGCTGTTTGGGAACAATGAGGGGTGTTGATTTGTGGCTCCAGTGCTCCTGGGTTCCATAGATGCTGCCTGATAGCGTGGAGATTTCCTTAGCCCTACTGTTGGGGTGCTCCTTCCTGAATGCCATCAAGCTACTTTTGGACGAACAGTTTTTATCTCTGTCCAGTTTAAAACTTATTAGACAGAAAGAAGGGGAGTTTGTTTTTCCTGCTAAGCTTTCTCCCGTGCTTTGCAGGCTTGCTGAGCACCTGAGGAGGACGAGAGCTGCCATCATCTTGCAGAAGCAGTTCCGAATGCTGCGGATCCGCCGAGCTTTCCAGAGGGTCCGCAACTCCACCATCACCATCCAGGCTTTTGCTCGGGGAATGTTCGCCAGGAGGACTTACCACCAGGTACAGCACCTCCACGGACTGTCTTTGTGTTACGAAAGAGTGGGAAGAGCCTCTATGTTTACCTTTGCTGCCACAGCACTGTGATGTGTTTATTGTGGCTGTTTTGATGTTTACGAAGCCGACAGCCTCTGGTGTTTCTGGGGAGCAGGCAGTGACAGTGAGCATTGCTGTTTAAAGCTGTGTAAGGAGAAAAAAAAGATTTTGGCAGCAGCACCTCAGTGGAGCAGTTAAATGAAGTGAGTCATTCAGGTGCTGGAAGGCACTGTGGAAATCTGGAAATGTCATTTGATCTAACCTGTTCTCTGCTAAAACCTCCCCGGCCAACTGAATCTGTGCCTGAGCTGTGCTGCAACTGCTGTTTCCAGGAGAGTAGGAAGACAAGAAGGGTCTGTCAGGGAAGGCAACTAGTAGTTTATTGATAGAAATCTCCCTTTAATTAGTTCTCTCCCCTAGCTTTCTGTGTTAAACCGGGACCTGAATGTAAAGAACTGAAAGTTTGATGACAGCAATGATACAGTGAGAAACCATAGAGTCCTAGAGAGGTTTGGGTGGGAAAGGACCTTCAAGTTCATCTCTTTCCATTGCCCTGCCATGGGCAGGGACACCTTCCACTAGACCAGGTTGCTCCAAGCCCTGTCCAACCTGGCCTTTGACACTTCCAGGGACAGGGCAGCCAGGCAGCCACAGCTTCTCTGGGCAACCTGTGCCAGGGCCTCACCACCCTCGCAGCCAGGAATTTCTCTGCAATCTCTGATCTAACCCTGCCCCCTGTCAGTGTGAAGCCATTTCCCCTTGTCAAAATTCCTTCTCCAGCTATTGTCTGTCAGGAAACTGAGAACAGCTCTGGGGGAATCTTTTGTCCACTCCTCAGATCCAGCACTGTTTCGGTGGTCCCTAAACTTATACCTAACTGGGCCATGGGCCTACTTGAAGAATTGAGAAGAATGATGAGACAGGAGGGGAAAGCCTTCTCCTGGGGATGGTGGAGGTTACCTGGACACCTGGTGACCTACCAGAGAGATCAGGGTTGTCCTCTGAGACAGACCAGCTGGGTGCTGGTGCTAGGGAATTTGTGCTGCCACTGCTTTTTCAGCATCTGTTTTTCAAATTGGAAGCCTCTGCAGGGGTGGCAGCTGGTGGAGAAGTTAAACCCTCTGAGGTTAAAGGTAGCCCAAATCTTAACAAGGTGTAGAAGTCGGATGAAGTCCAGGCCTCGCAAATCTGAACGTCCTTAATCTCTGGAGCACCTGGGTGTAGGTGCTGGATATAGGTATTGGTTCAAGTGCATGTTCAGCAACAGGTGCAGAGTGGTGGGGGATGCTCCTTGGGGTCAGGGCATGCCCAGTGCCCACCAAAACTTTGCTTTAAGCCTGGAATAGGTCCCCAAGACAGTGCAGTGGGGTTTCTTGTATTTCTTTGGGCACCCCCAGTTTCTCCATCTGTGAATACCAGGGCTGGAGACATACAAAGTTCATTTCCCAGTAACTCCTGCTGCATCCTAAGTTCATACAATCCCTTTGTTCTGAATTAAAATTTGCAATTGCAAAGAAAGCCTTAGGGTGAAACAAAATATTTGTAAGAGAACCTGAGAGGGTACCTTTTCTGAGACAAGTTATCCCAAACTAATAACAGCAGTGTCTTGTAATCTTCAAATTCTCCTGCTATTTATTTCCTTATCAGACTGAAGCATAGATGAGCATAAGGAAGTTATTAACAACATGCTGGTTGTATCTCTAGTATGTCAGCATTCAGTTGTAGAGGAAGGAATTGAATTGCCACCTACTGAAAAGATTGTAATAAATTTTGGGGAAGAAATTCAATGCACAAGCACCAGAAATTTCACAAAGCCCTAGATAAAGGTTCCTAGAAGTTTAATTGTGTGACTGTAGGCTGTAGTGAAAGGAGCCAGGGTTTTATTTGAAGGTTATTCACATGATAAGAAATCCCACCAGGACAGCATTTATCTGCAGTAAAAATTATCATAATGCGGGGGTGGAACACAGGAAAAAAATCTACAGACCTGTTCTGGTGTGAGTTATAGCTGATGCTGAAGGGCCAGTAAGTTTGTTGCTAAGTGTTTGTGTGTCTGTTAATGGCTGTTTGTTCTGCTGAATGTGGATCTCAGTGGTATTCTGAGGTGGTCCATGAAGCCTCCCTTGAACCCAGATACCCCCTGTTCCCATCAAGTTCTCTACTCACTAACCAGGATCATACACCCTCACATCACTGGCCAAGCAGATCTTGGCTTGTTTTAGAGAGCCAGGCTCCTAAGAGAGGTCTGGATATGTCAAGCACAGTATCTGGAAAAACCCTTCTTGGCGGGGGGGGGATTGAAGTCCTGTCTGTGACAGAAGATGCCTTTATCTCCAGCCATCACCCTGTGCACCTACTAGGACACTCCTTGGAGGAGAAGCCCTTCCAAAGGCAGTTGTTTGGGAAGCGTTGAGTGCTGTGTTGCAGCCAAACCAGGGCTGCTGCTACCTGTACAGGTGACTTCCCATGAATGGCCATAACCTGAAGGGAGATGGGATATTAGGAAGGATTTCTTTGCCGTGAGGGTGGCGAGATGGTCTCTAAGGTCCCTTCCAACGCAAGCCATTTCATGGTTCTGTGATTCTGTGGCTTTCCTCCTTCTGATTGTCCCGCTCCTGCCCATGTTGTGCAGATCCTGGCGGAGCACAAAGCCACCATCCTGCAGAAATACGCCCGGGGCTGGCTGGCCCGCACACGCTTCCACAGGGTGCAGGCTGCCACCATCGTCCTGCAGTGCTACTACCGGCGCATGAAGGCCAGGCAGCAGCTGAAGGCACTCAGGATCGAGGCCCGCTCAGCTCAGCACCTGAAGAAGCTCAACGTTGGCATGGAGAACAAGGTGGTCCAGCTCCAAAGGAAGATCGATGAGCAGGTACGTCCCGAGCTGTGTTGCGGCGAGTGTGGTCATGCTGCCACTTTGCCTCTGTTTTGTTATCCTTCCCAGGAAGGGTTTTATCTTTCCATGTTGTCTGGTAAGGGTGTCGTGTTGGTGGCAGCCTTCGCTGCTTCTGGCCTGGCATTTGTAAGGGTGGGACACCACCATGGGAGTGCAGATGCGCTGGGATCTTGGGTCTCCCCCTTGCTCAGGGAGCTGCAAAAGCTGCGATGAAATTGTTGTCAGAACTGCCCAGAAGGGCTCAGAGGAGGAAGGTAAAATGGCAGTTTCGAAAGCTGTTGCTTGAAAACCCAAGCCAGCTCCATGTGAGATCCCGATGTCAAAGGGGTTTGGGGCTGGGTTGTTCTCCTGTGCTTCCCACTTTACAAGCGCCGAGGGTGCAGAGTCTCTGCCACAGCTCATTGTATGAACTGTGTGTCTTATGAGTCACCTTCCTTAGAAGATAAACTAATTTGAGTAAATACTTCGCAAAGTAATTTGAGCGTGTTTGTGTTACTAGACATAGCAACTCTTCAGAAGTAAGAGCCATGGTGAGGGGTGGGATGGTGGGGTGGAGATGCCTGTGTGGGTGACTTGATGGTCTTACTGTGACTCCTTGATGGCAGGGAGGTCTTCAGCAATTGCCACTTGTTATTAATGAGCTGCAGAATAATGGTTTGATTACACACTTAGGAGAAGGGTTTTCCAACTGTTAATGTAAGCAAGTTACTCTGATAAATACCCTCTATGTTGCTGTACGAGGACTTCAGGGTGAGCATAAGAAACGCTGAGTGGGACCTGCATATCAACAGGTAATTTCATATCTACTTGTGTCCTCCAACAGACCTTTTACAGGCAGAAGAACATTCCCTCTGAGTCAGGATAACGAGTGCCAGTTAGTAGTAATTGTGGTTTTCATTCTGGGATGTTGTCAGGGACCCTTATACATCATACCTGGCTTCCTCGCCACCTTAAATCTCTCCATCCCTGAATGACATGAGCAGTCCTGTGATGGAGATGATGAGGAGTGACTCTGCGTTGGCTCGGATACTGCAGAGTCAGGATACCCTGGGATTTGCATTACTGCTGGCAGCCTTCATTGCAGTATTAATTGGCTGCAAAGTGTGCACTGCAGCCGAGTCTGACTTTCAGACCCTGGTGTTTAATTTTAAAATGCCTGTTTGCATACTTATATTTTGCAAACAGTAGATTTGGAATGGAAAACCTTAAGCATAATGTTTGATATGACCCTTTATCTGGAGGGTATTCAGTGGAATTAAATAGGATGAGTCATTTGAGGTCCAGATATTTGGGCTGAACTTGTGCAATGAGTGTGAACGTCAGTGTTAGGCCTGCTGAGCTGCTGGGCTTGGCCCTGGAGCAGCAGTATTAATTTTTAGTTTACATTCTTCTCCAGTTCATTACCAATTTACTGCTAGGAAAAGTGCGTGAATAGAACAATAAAGAAAAAAACCCAATATTTGGTTAACATTGGCTTCCTGTCATGGATTATAAAAAGCAGCAGAAGGGTTTGCTTTAGGGAAGGAGTCATGGAGAGCTTTTAACTAGGCAGAAATAATGGTCTGGACCTCATCTTACTCTCTCTCGGTCTCTGCACAGGCCATTTTGAAGTAGTTTCTTTGATGCTTTCTGTGTAACTTTTGCAGGGAAGGATTGCTGCTTTGTGTTACTCATGTTAGTCTGTCCAGTGAGCTGATTTTAACCATCCTTCCAGTACTGTCAGGTTTCCCTGGGATGCTTTGGAAGTGCTAATGAGCACCATTACAGTGGACTTTCTTTTCAGTACGTTGAATTTATTTTTTTCTGGCACAGTGAGTTTGCTGCATGGTAGTTTCCCTGAAGGATCTTGCTAATCTATAAACACAACCTTTGGAAATACCAATTAGCTTTCTAAGAAAAAAAGAGTATATACCAGGTAACCTGGAGAGCTGCAGTTGTATCATTTTCTAAATAGCTGTGGACAAAAATGTTTCTATTTCTGCTGCTTTAGCTCATGCATGAGTAGAGATGCAATACTCCATGTGCCCCCGAGGAAGAGAAGATCTTAGTAAACATTAAAACCTTTTCTTGTATGTCAGCCTCGGCTCACATGCTCTGGCATCCGTCACTGGAATGGTTTAATTCAGTTTTTGAATCAGGTGAAGGATTTTTTTGCACACACAAGAAAGGTTTAAATCTATTTTGCTGCTAAACATCCTCACTGGACCACTTTTTTTTCTAATTACCTTAGACCAATTTTTGCTTTTTCTTCCCAGGGTTTTTTTTTCAGTTGAGTTTCTTTAAATCTACGTGTTGTGCCTGCCTGAGATACTTTTAAGGCTGGTACCTAATTTAGTGTTACATGTTCATACAGCTAATAATTAGATTCACAGTGTGGTCTCCATACTATCTCTACAAGCAGTAGTATCTCCATGAGCATTTATTGAATAAAACTAGTTTCGATAGGAATAGTGATGAATTTGTTGCCTCTGCCACTGGTAGCAAAATTAACTAAAATTATTAAAAAAACCCAAACAACTAGGTTGGGTTGAAACCAGGACTCTCACAGCTCTGCAGGGCTGGATAATGATGGAAAATAAAGCAAGTTTAAGTTTAACAAGGTCTGTTGAGCAATCTCTGATTGCAGTGGGGAGCACCCCAGTAAACGCTGTCTCATGTCTCTGGTAGCTAATAACAAGAAAAAGCAATTCCTGTGCATTTATCTGGTTTCTGCATGGAAATCTCCATTGGCTGGTACGTAAAACCATATACAGAAACCTTGGCACAGAAGGTTCTGCAAATGGATCTCCTTGGAAATATCTTTGGAACTCTCCTATGGAGCCAGGCTGGGAGGGCTGGGGGGGTTCACCTGGAGAAGAGAAGGATCCAGGGAGACCTGAGAGCCCCTTCCTAAAAGAGGCTCCAGGAGATCTGGAGAGGGACCTGGGACAAGGGCCTGGAGGAACAGGACAAGGGGGAATGGCTTCCCACTGCCAGAGGGCAGGGTCAGATGAGATACTGGGAAGGAATTCCTGTCTGTGAGGGTGGTGAGGCCTTGGCACAGCTTTCCCAGAGAAGCTGTGGCTGCCTCTGAATCTCTGTAAGTGTCCAAGACCAGTTTGGATAAGTCTTGGAGCAACCATGTCTAGTGGAAGGTGTCCCTGCCCATGGTAAGGGAGTGGGAGTGGATGATCTTTAAAGTCCCTTCCAACCTCAACTATTCTAAGATTCTATGAAATGTCTTTGGTCACGCAGAAATTATAATTTCCTACATGCAGAATTTTGATGTTCATTAATAATTCATTAGAAGGGAGCAAAGGAAAAAATGTTAATATCTCTCATTTACTTGTTTTTCCATTTTAGATGTGTGTTAATCTTGCTTCAGTTCACTGAGACTCTACATTGAGAGGGGGGTGCTTTGGGAGGTCACCTAAAGAGGGGCCAAAAGTATGATCACAGCAAACTTCAAAAACCAGACTACATTTTAAGTTTCAAAATGGTTCTTTTGCTGCCGTGGTTATCTACCTAATGTTAGCAAAGTTTACGTGGTAGGGTCTTAACAAAGCTCTTGGTGTGTTGTGAATTAGCTGACGTTTCTGGGGCTGACTAATAATGGTGGTGTTTATTAGTCACAATGTCATTGACTTCGATTTGAAGCACAAAAAAACAAATGAGGCTACTGAATTTTTGAGTCTGAAAACTTCTGGAGCAAATCACTGCTAAGTGCTTTAAAAGAGAAAAACTGAGCAAATAAGATGACTGAGCAGGCACATGACTTAAAAGTAGGGAGCTCGAGTATGCAGTTCTTCATTGTCACCTCAGGTTTCTGCGGGCATAGGAGCCAGGAGTAAAAGAGTAAATTGCAAAACAAATATTACAGATTAAAAAAAAAAAAAGAAGCAAATCAATTGCATTAAGCAACAGTGTTTGGAAGCTGTAACAGGAGCGTGGTCTTTTGGTTTTGCTGCCAGTGCTACCAAGCATTGTTTGCCTTTGAGTGGTATCACTGTAATACCCATTTAACAAATGCTTCTATAATTGTTGCCAAAACATTATTGAGCTTTCAGCACAGTTTAGACATAGCTTTTAGCTTTATGATCTTTATTAGCACGTGCATGGAAATGTTTGTTGTTGTGAGCTTGTTTCCCACCACACTCGAGGATTCTGAGTGGTTACTTTTGCAGTGCATCAAGGCAGCGCATGCATTCATGTCACTTATGCTCTTATGTCCTTCTCTTTGGGCTGCAGAACAAGGAATACAAACTCCTGAACGAGCAGCTCTCCACGCTGACGTCAGCCCACTCCTCCGAGGTGGAGAAGCTGAAGAAGGAGCTGCTGCAGTACCAGCAGAGCCAGCGGGGCGATGGCAACCAGCTTCTCAGCCTGCAGGAGGAGATGGAGCACCTCAGGCTGGAGCTGGAGAGGGCTCATGGGGAGAGGAAGGTGGTGGAGGACAGCTACATGCAGGAGAAAGACCTGCTGAGAAAGGTACGTCTGTCTGTCACATCTCAGGTTGTGCAGGTGGCTATACTGGTGAAAGCTCACTCTTCACAGGTCTGAAGGGGAGAGAGTTTCTATTCTTTGATTAATATTTTTGCTGGTTTTGTTTTTGCTGCTGAATGCCTCTAGAATTTGTCTTTAACCAGCTCATGGGGCAGCAAGGGCAGGCGAATGTCCCTGCAGGGGCAGTGATGACTACCTTGTGTCAGAAGGACGTCCCATCTTGATGCCTTTTGCAGTGCCAACCACAAAGGAACTCCCCAAACCCAAACCCATCTGGAAAACAGGACATTTAATAACCATGGATACCACAGAATCATTAAGGTTGGAAAAGACCTGTAAGATTGCCAAGTCCAACCATCAACCCAGTCCCAGCACTGTATTCACCACTAAACCATGTCCTCAAGTGCCACATCCACGTGGTTTTTGAATACTTTCTAGGGATGAAGACTCCACCACTTTCCTGAGCGGTCTGCTCCAATGCTTTACAATCCTTTATGTGAAAAAAAATTCCCTATTACCAAACCTAAACCTCCCCTGGCACAACTGGAGCTTGTTTCTTCTCATCCTCAGCTTCAGGTGTATGCCAGAGCTTCATGTTTATACAGTGATTCACCATGACATGTCGTGCAAAGTATTGGAGAAGGCTGTCATAGATGCTGTAAATATTAGGAAGATGTCCTTCCTCATCCCAGCCCAGGATGGGACATGAGGGTTCAGTTTTTGCCATGGCTGTTGCATCTGGTTGTAGTGGTGTTGTAGGTACACAGAGCTGTGATCTGTGTGAAGATCAACTTCTCTCTTCCCAGGCAGAGGCGCTGCTCCAGCACCACCTAGGCTGGTTGTTATGAGCCTTTATAGGGTTTGGAGCTGGGATATACACTAAATATATTTTTTTTTCTGCTCCTTCATGCAAACTCATAGAATATCCTGAGTAGAAAGGATCCCACAAGGATAATCAACTTCTGTGCTTTATCTCTTGAGGTGGATGTGGTCCAACACTGCCACCATTGTACAAGAAAGAATTCTAGTGGAGGAAGAGACTTCAGAATGGAGAGTTTGTTTTGCAAAGAGTAAAAATGGCCCTTTTGCCCTGAATTTTTTTGCTGGTCAGATTAATTCTGAATAACAACCATTCTCATAACCTGAAGCTCTAAGATGTGGGTTTGGTTTCCTTCTGCGAATGCTTGTGGCTTCTCGGGTTAAATCCATGATATTTCTTCTGTACCAGCATTTGAATTGAATCTTTGATCTTGCTGTTGGAAAGAATTTAGGGCTTTCTTACTCAATATATTACAAAGAAAAAGCTGTTTTGCAACTGTTACTCTGGAACAGCACTTTGTGTGTGACGACCTGAAGATGAGTCACTTTAGGAAATTTAAAAAAAAAAAAAAAAAGAAAGAAAGAAAAAAAGAACCTGGAATTAGCTGTGTTTTTATTATGGTGAAAGAGTGCCCACATGGGGCTCTTCCAGGGCACTTCATGGAGCATCACCTACCCTGGCCAACCTTCACTTGCTGCTGAGCACTCGGGTTTGGCTGAGAAGCTGCGGGAACTGTGGTCAGGATTACTTAATCTGAACCATTAGCACAACTGAGATGCTTTTGTGGGTGTGCATCTCAGAAAGGTGAGCACCCTGTATACTTGTTGTGTCTTGGCTGGACCAAGAGGTGTCAGGTAATCACCAACTCCACTCTTTGCATGTGTGTTTCACCCACGCAGGGAACGTATGAAATCAGTGATTTTCTTTTATCCACCACCAAATTAGAAGATCCGTTTTGGCACAGGACTCCATTCATTATCTGGCCGCAGCATAGGCTTTTAGAGCCAGAAAAGATGCTTTGTTTTGAAGGTGATGCAGGGGGATAAACTGCTTCTCTTTGTACTTGATTGCAAATCCCCTTCGAGCACTCGGAAGGAAGGTTGGTTTAATCACCAAAGAAATGCTTTTAAAAAGCATGAAAACAAAGCAAAAGCTTTCCCTTGCTGTAGAAGTGCCTACAGCAGAGCAAATACTGTGCATTTTACCATGACAGTAAATGGTTTAGTTATAAAACATTTCTAATGAGCAGTGCAGGCTCCCATTTCTGGCATTAGCTTTCCATTACTCCTTTTGGTTCCTTGTCAGTGGGAAGACAGAGAAGACTTGTTTCCTTCCTGGAAACATTAATTTAGCCAAAACATTTCTCAGGAAAAATTCAGATAAGACATATTTTGAGTAATTCTAACAAACACCAGAAGCTGGGGAGTGTCTAGAAACTGAACTCAGGTGAGAAGCACTTTTCACCTTCAAGATGAGGATTACACCATGGCCATGGTTGTAGTGGAACACATTTACTCTGGGGATGATTCCCACAGTCATCTCACCTCTGAGCGAGACTGAGATGAGCCTTAATTCTGTAATTTGAGCTGAGGCTGCAGATTCTGCAAATCCCTATCAGTTATGATTTTGTTACTTTAAAAAAGCCTTTTAATCTCTTCCTCATAGCTATTCTCTCTGAGCCCTTAATTTTGGAACAGCTCTTTTTACTTAATTTTGTGATTAAGTTTAAAACATCATGTCTGGGTAAGTACCAACAGCTCTTTGTAGGGCTTTTTGTAGCATCGAGTTTCCTCACCTGATGAGATAGGATAATTTCAAAGCCTGCCCAGGAATTTCGTTAGGAAAATGCTAAATGCCATCATTCTTCCCTCACAAGATTAGGGCAGGATGGGAGGCAGGTCTCCTGAGCTGGTTGTTCCAGCATAACACTTACATAAGGGCTGAAGCCATCACAAGTGCTCCCTGCTCAGCATCTTCCATATAAATCCTTCAAAGCAGGTGCTGTTGCTTCGAAGCATCTTCAGAGATCTGTTTCCTTTAGAAAGAGATGAGCAGGAGGTACAAAAGATGCCAGTAGGTACCAGAGATGGAGTTTGTGCTGCTTGGCCATTGTGTAACCTGCTCCTCTTGCCTCCACCTGTGTGTAATGGACTGTTCTCATCTTCAGGGGGCTTGGTTAAACACAGGTTTTGAACTTTGAGCTCATTCCTGTTTCATGTAGAAACAGGAATTCCATAAGCAAGTTGAATGGCTTAAGATCACATCTTAAAAATAGCTGTACCCAAACGTGATTAGAAATTTTAAAACCTCTGAATAATTGTTGTGGATCCTATTGAGCCTTTCAGTTCTAAGTATCCCTCCATCATTGTTGAAAATACTCCAGATCTGGGCCTGGTTTTTCTAACCATCATGAATTTTTCTGGGCAGAGGGCTCCTTATGAGTACCCATTAAAGAGCACTAGTAAAATAATCATGTTGCCTTTAATCTTTTCCCTGATGGGATAAATGACTCAAATTCCTTGCTGTCCCACTGCAGTACATGTTTTCATTGCTTCCTATAACTCCTGTAGCTCTTTCCCATTTTTTTAAGAGTTCTTTCTACCTTGAAGACACTGGTGCTGATCTAATGGCAGATGTGATGGACGGAAGAAGAAAAGTAGCTGGTTTTGGTACAGAATATTAAAATCTTGTCTCATTTCAGAGCATTTAAAACACTAATAGCTCTGCATGCCTAAACTGTGGAGTTTTTAACTTTCTAATTGTATCTCCAGACTCTGACTTTCATATTATAGAGAGAGAGATGCAGGAGGTAATAGTGTCATGCAAGCAGCTGGAGTAAATGAACAAGGAGAGTAAGGGGTGGGGATGTTTTCCAATTTGTGCACAGAATATGACTGATTCGGTCACGACTTACAATAAAATATTCATTTTGCTTTTATTCTCACCATTAGTATGTGTCTGGCATATGCAGTGTTTGATAAAATACCTTAATTTGAACACGCTTGTGTGGAAGACTGAAATCTGTGCTAGGGATGCATGCCAGCTGGGCTGCCTATAAATTTAATCTAATGGCGACAGCAAAATTATTACTCTTGGGCATGTTTACAGTGTTTTTTAGTGTTGGCATCGTGAGATTCTTCTGCTATGTGTAGCTGTTTCCTAAGTGGTGGCTATAGGGTGTGAGGGAGCAGGCACAGGGAAATGACATTATGCCGGGGTGATGTGTGTTCTCCTGCCTGACAGCAACAGAGTTGTCCTGCTTAACTGTAGCAGCATATGTCACTTGATAATATGATGGTTTAGTGTTTTGAGATAGTGCTGTTGAATGCATCAAAGTTCCTGAGGATGAATAGTGTTATGGGATCAGTAGCTGTCAGAATCAGACCAGCCTTGGAGTTGTGACAATGCAAAATAGCATTTTGCAGGATTTAGTTTCTGTTCTCGTTAATTTTTACGAGGCAATCGTTGGTGTTAATTGCTAGATATGCTCCTGTCTTGTTACCAAAGGCCCTGGTACGTGCCATTCCTCGCTGTACTAGTGGTTCTGCAGTCATAGGAAGCATTAATGTGACTAATCACACTAAACGAATTGCGTACAAGAAAGTCAAAAAAGCCTGAACTATTTACTCAGCTCATATTCACTGTGTCCATCTCAACTCCTTAAGTGCTACATTGCTGGGAACAATCAGCAGGTTTGTTTTCCCGACTGCACTCAGTGCTGTGACTTGAAGAAAAAGGTGAAGCCCATTGAGATGTAAAAATGAACCTCAGATCTCATGACCTGATCGCTTGCAGGAGTTTCACTCCAGCAGATTGTGCTCACCAAGTCCAGCTGTCCAGTATTTTGTAAGATTCTGCCAAAAACATTAATTTAAGGGAGCAGTTCACTCAGGAAGGGGGAAAGTTAGTCTCTGGGGTAGCAGTGCAGTTCTCCTGCGCTCCAGCTCCTGATGTACAAAGGGCCACTGGCAAAGCACGGTGGGATGGATCTCTTAAACAGCAAAGAGAGCCCGAACAAAGCTCCCTGTCTCTCGTCAGGTGAAATGTAATCCCTCTGCAGAGGCCCTGACCTGCAGCAAGCAGTAATTCTTTGCCTTGCTCCGTAGCGTATCTCCGATTTGGAAGAAGAAAACGCTCTCCTGAAGCAGGAAAAAGAGGAGCTTAACAGCAGGATTCTCTGTCAGTCTGAAGGTAAGAAAAGATGCTTATAGCATTGTAATGCTAAGTGAGAAGCTTAACTGGTGTCCCCCCCAATCTCGCTTTTCCTGTGTGTTTTTCCTGCCTTGAAAAGCGCTCATCTTCCCGCGACCCTTTCCTGGTGGTTTTTGTCACTGTTTTGTTGTGCAGGTAGTTCTATTCATGCAGCCCTGCTGGTGGATGGTAAGCCAGAGACCAGTTTAATTGCTGAAACATGGAATAAAGTACCTGAAAGGGCTTTTTAGTTCAGTTACGTCGCAGCGTTTCCTGCAGGTGATGTGGGAGGGGTAGGGAAAAACAGCATCCCAAGAATGATGAATAAAGGATCCAAGGAACAGCACAGTTTACATTATTGAGCTATGGCAAAGGATTTCTCCAGTGTGACACAAGTCTGTGAGCATTTTTTAGAAGCAGAGACTTAGATGGCAAGACATGCAAAGGGGAAAGCAATCTGGGAAAATCCCATGTCACAAAAGAAACTGCGCGTATTGAGCTTTTCTATTTTTTATCATCCTTTTCAACCTTGATTTTCTAGCAGGATTTACAAAGAGCGTCGTGCTGTGGATGTATCTATCACTGCTCCGTGGTACTTGTGAAGTACCTTTTGCCCTCAGCCTGACACAAAATAAAGGAATTAAAGTAACATGTTAAAAAGAAACCTCCCGCAAATATTTATTTATCTCTTATGGGATGTTTCTGGAGCATCTGAGATGGGAGAGAGCAAGTGGAGGGGGTTTGTTTGTTGTTCTCCCATTTAAAAGGACACATGGGCTATATTTGTCTGGTTCTTCAGGAAGAGGAGGGACCAGATTTGTTTCCAAAAGGGAGTCTTTAACAAAGAAATCAATTTATTTGGATATAAAATACTTTGAACCCCCTGAGTCTTACCGTGGTAAATGGTTGATGGCACGAGAAAAAGCTGCTGCAGTTCATTTGCTCCTGTGCCAAATATGGTGGTGGGAAGCAGGCAGGGAAGTTTTTAAATGCAGCATGTACCACTTTTTCAACATGACTGTATTTCCATACTGTGCTGGTGTTTTCTTGAATGGGTTTGTGGCTGGCCCATGGGAGCTGGAGCTGGCACAGTTGAGTTAAGCATAATAGATCTGGTGGTTTGTAGGTGCTGGAGATTTTTCTTTGACTCAAATTCAAATGTCATGGAGACAGCTCTAGATTATAAAAGTATCTAAATATTAGAGAATGCTCACATGTATTCTAAAGGCTCCTGGCAGAGACAGTATTTTTTTCATTAGTCATTGTAATTGGACATATTAACCAGAAGCTCGTTTCAGAGATGAAGTTCATAATTTCTTTTCTCTTTCCTTTTTTTTTTTTTTCCTTCTTATTTTAAAGATGAATTTGCACGAAATGCAGTTGAGGAAAATATCCAGATGAAGAAAGAGCTGGAAGAAGAGAGGTCTCGTTATCAGAACCTGGTAAAAGAGTATTCAAGTCTGGAGCAGAGATATGACAACTTGAGGGATGAAATGACGATTATAAAGGTAATGAAACTGGAATTATCCCTGTTCTGTTGTACCCTGAACCTGTTGTTGGTGAACAACATGACTCACTTATCTGCAAAACATTTAATAGAACTGACATTATTGTGCAGTTTGCGCTTGATATTTCTGAGAATACACTTCTAGCAAACCATCTGTGTGCCTTGAGAAAGGGGCTTGGTCTTTCGTGCGTCTCTGTGAACTACTTAGAAATCTCTGTGAATCTCAGCAAAAGCTGGATTGTGCTCCTTGTTCTTGTTTTGTGCTGGTGATGTTCAGGTGTAGGTGTTGGGTTAAAAGCAAACAAACCAAAAAACCCCAGCAACGTGACTGCAGAATTTCAAAAGCCAGAGTTTTTAGGTTCAGCTTTGCTAAAGTGTTAGAAAAACTGTTGAAAATCAGATAATAGAGTGCTACTGGATTTGAGTTAAGTATAATAGATCTGATTGTTTGTGGGTGCTGGAGATTTTTCTTTGACTCAAATTCAAATGTCATGGAGTCAGCTCTAGATTATGAAAGTATCTAAATATTAGAGAATGCTTACATATATTCTAAAGGTTGAGTGCTTGAAGGGAGTTCCAGAGGGTCTGTCAACAGCATAATCTTGAGCTCAGATTTGCATGTTCACACTTACCAGGCATCTGGTGTCATGATGTGCCTTTAATTCATGCAGAATTTTTAAACTGAGCTTCTATATCCCTTCACATTTTAAGGTATTCCTTTGTGTTAATATGAATTTCATGGTTAGGGCATAAAAACTCAAAAATGGAATCTGCTATAAGGTGAAAGTCAAGCCTTTTGTAAAGGTAACTTTGGTATATAGTAAAATATTTGCTCTTGATAAACAACACTTAGTGAGGAATCCTTAAATGCTGAATGCTTTATGTATCTGCATCACTTCTTGGCAGCAGGCACCGGGGCACAGAAGAAACCCATCCAACCAAAGCAGCCTGGAGTCTGATTCCAATAATCCATCCATATCCTCCTCTGACATAGGAGACACCGATGATGTGATTCAACAAGTGGAGGTACAGGAAACTGGGCAGGAGAGGAGTGGGGAGGAGAGCCCTGCTCTGCAGGGGTGATGGGTGTGGGGTTTGGAGCACAGAGGTTGGGCGAGAAGGTTTGGCAGATAAAATTGACTTCGGGCTAAAGAAACACATCGTTAATTGTGTGAGAGGGGTTGCAGGGTCGTGGTGCTATGGCAAATGCTTACTTGTTTGCAGCATCGGGCTTAAATAGGGCTCTAAAAATAATAAAGTCCTGTCTTTGGGCCACACCAGCTTAAAGACTGATGAAAATTCATCAAAGCAGTTATAGCCAGCACTGATGGCGATGACTGTATCATGATCCTTCTCTGCAAGGATAGCAGAATTCATTACCCTCTTGCCCTGAGTGTTTTCGCTCCCATGCATCTTCACGGATGCTTTGCTGGCCAGCACGGCCCCTGTAATCAAATCAACAGCCTCTTAATACAGAAAAGAGCAGCACAAATTAATCCCTGGCTTTCAAGAATCCTGTGGAAAAGAGAAACGTGTTTTTTACTCACATTTACTAGAACAGGCTACTTTTTAAATTCCACTTCTGTGACTCAAGAGCACGTGTGGGTGGTGAACGTTCCTGGGATCTGCCAACCCGTTGGCAGGACCTTATTTTGTGTCCCACATGCATACCATGCCTGCAGAAGCCCTCACTGCCCTTAGCTGGCTGCTGTGTTATGTTTGGTATTTCTGAACTACTCTGAGAGCATTTTCTGAAGTCAAACAGTAGTGGCCATGCTCTGATGTAAAATATTCCAGGCGAAGCCAGTTAAAAAAATCAGTGAATAAATACTTGGCTAGAAGTGACTCAACAGGGCATTTTTGATGTTCTTAGCTGCAGCCCAAATCAGACCCAGTTTATCTCTTGGGCTGTTAAGCATTCTGTGATTTATTAAAAAGAGTCAACTGTTCTACTGACATTAAAAATAGGTGCTTAAAATGTAGATTTGGTCTTTGAAAGTGCATGTCTTTCTTGAGATCCTCCTGTTACTGGCTGTGGCTGGGGTCAGTGCTGATGTACAGTCAGGCCATGTCTGGCACTGGGTGTGGTTATAGAATTTAGCACTATCTTTTTTTTTTTCTACTCTCCTGTTCTTCTCTAGGAGATTGGGATGGAAAAAGCAGCCATGGACATGACCCTCTTCCTAAAGCTGCAGAAGAGAGTGAGGGAGCTCGAGCTGGCGAGGAAGAAGCTGCAAACCCAGCTGGAGAAGAAGGAGCAAGAGAGCAAGAAATCCCAGGTAAGAGGTGGCTTTTCATTGATACTAATATTTCCTGTTGGTAACAGGCTTTCCTTGATTGCCTGAAGGACACATGATGTAGGAATTCAGGTTTGAGAGTGACAAGTTCAAAATAAGAGGCAACAAATCCATCTGGAAAACGGAGATAAACTTTTTTTGTCAGCTAAGGACAATCTCACAGGGGAAGTGCTTTATTTATTTGTATAAACAAACTGGTTATAAAATATTTAGGACAGTCCTTGGTTTGGTATTGTTATCATCTGTGTGGTTTGGTTGGTTTTTCTTCCAAAGTGATGACCATATAGGAATAGAGCTTAAAAATAGTGTAGTAAATCAGAAATAACAAGATGGCTGTTAGAAGAATGAATTCTTTATTCCTGTTGCATATTCCTATGCTGTATTCTTTCTTCCTTATGAAAAGAAAATCTTCCTACAGTTTGAGTTGTTTCCTTGAAAACAGTTAAAAATATATATTAATATTAATAGGTATTTATCTCTTATCCTATATAAAATGTATAATATAATTATATTATATATAATGTGTTTATATTATATATAATATAAATATTAATATATAGTAACATATTTTTAAAATCAACATTATTGACATCCCAGTAACTTAAGGGACAGGAGTCCATCCAGGCTTACAACTGAAGTCTGAAAATGTAGCTCTGTATGTTCTGGCGAGCCAACTTCTGGGACTGGGGGCTTTCAATAGCAGATCTCTTGTATACATTTTCCCTGCCATCTGTAACCAAGACTTTGTGACTTGTCAGAGGCCACAGAGGGGATGATGTGTGCCATAAAACAGCAGTGCTGTGTGCATGGTGTTGTGAAGCAGTGAAGATGCTCTTTTACGAGTTGCTGAGTAAATGCCATCACTCTTGGTTTCCTATTTGAAATTTCTGGGGCTTCTGTTGCTTCGTTTGGGAATTATTTTCTTTATTACTCTCCAGTGTGAGATCAGTGTAACTTTGGACAAACGCAACAAGAGACTCAACAAAATCATCAACAGTAATTATTTACTTGCTTCACTACATATTCTTATTGACCACCTCTAGTAATTTGCAGGGGACACATGAAATTGGAGACTTCCCCAGCCTCTTCTCCTTGCTGCAGAGGTGGATTAAAAACCTGTTTTCCGACTGCTGTGTTGAAGATTGTTCCCTTAATGACTGTCACTGTTTGAAGGCTGCAGTGAGCCACAGTTGTCAGGATATTAATGAGAGATTAAACCATTTTCTCTTGAAGTGTCCTCTGCCCCACTAGGTGTTGCTGGGATGCCGTCTGATGGCAATTAATAACATTATTATGGTTGAGCTGGCCGGACGTGCCCAGCCATCCTGTGCTGTGTGCCAGCTCCTCTGGCTGCTTTTAAATATTAATCTGTCTCTTTAATCCATGCAGGTTATTGAAACAAACACCATGACTTCAGAACAGGAAGATTTTGCATACAACAGCCTGAAGGTGAGTGAGAGTGCTGTAACCCATTCCATGGCTCCAGCAGCCCAGACAAGTGGCATGAACGTGGTAACAACACAAAACCTCCTGTAACTGGCTCTGTTAGAGGGGGCAGTTGCAGCTGTAGCTGTCCATCAGCTCTGGGGTCTGGGATGGGCTCACAGATGTTTCTCTCTGGGGCAATGTCTGTTCTGCACTGGTCTACCTGTTTCTGAGTCATCCACAGAGGCGAAAAGCCCACTTATGGTGAAGAGTGCTTTTTCCACTGCACCTGTTCCCACTGGGACTTTATTGGGTTTCCTCTGTTGGCACATCGGGTCTCAGCAGTTTGCTTTGCTATAGGTATAAATCTCACAGCTGAAACCCAGTGTGCTTCTTCCAGGCTTCAACTCTGCTTTTTGTTCACTTTCTGTGCATTCCCGAGGTGCCACTCTGGTCAAAACCAAAGAAATCTGTGGATATTCTGTCTCCATCGTTTTCCCCCTGTGACACACAGAGCAACTGAAACCTCCTGGGCTCCTATTGCAGCTTCTGTGGGTTCTCCCCTCCTGCTCTAACAGTACTCAAATACTCTGTTAGACCAATTCCTATGTCTTGCTTATCCTCAGAAATCCAGTTTCCAGGTTAGGGTTAGTAAGGGAATTTTTTTTTATATTTTTTTTTTTTTCAGCACAGACCTACCTTTCAGAGGCTCCTTCTCTCCTTGTCTCCATAACAAATGTGTTATCCAGAATAACATGATACTAAACCATCTATCAGTAGTAATACCATTTTTGCTTCTGTATCATCTCCTCTGAAGGACATAAAGAAACCAGAAATTAGAGATGGAAAGGATGGATGTTCAACCCTCACTAAGCACATACCTCTAGCAGAAGCTTTTTCTGGCACTTAATCCATCCAATTTTTATTTTCTGAGCACGATATTCATGTTGCACTGGCTGGATGTGCTTTTAGTGGCAGAGGGAAACCCCACTGAGTTTCATTAGTACCTCTGCACAGCTCCTAGGAGAAGAAGGATGGCACCTTCTTAAATAGCTTCTATGGAGTTCTGACTTCAGCATGAGTTCAAAAAGTGCGTTTTCTTCAAGCTTTGACCCAGGAAGTTCAGAGTGGAAATAGTTATTTTGGATTTTCTTACTTTCTACATTCCTAACGTACTAACATACGTAGTCCTAAATATCTAAGAAACCTTAAAAACTCTATGTTAATACCATTTCATATGAATAGGTAGCCTATGTTGCTAAAAATGAAGGATTCTTTAGCCTAAAACAGGTGGAAAATGAACCTGCAGAGTTGTTGGTTACTGCTTTCTTTCCTGGTCTCCCTGGCTTCGTTTCTAACCAGAGCTGAACTTTATATGACCAGTCCTTGGAGTCAGCAGTGTGGCTTACCCATTGAAAAAAGGAAGAGGGGGAGAAAGGCATAGAAAGGAGGAGGACAGTAAAGAAAAAGGAAAGCAGGGGTCTTAAGCAGCAAATAAAAAAACTCACAGGAGAGCCATTTGTGTAGAAAAGCAGGTAATTGCTTTCATCTTACCCTTTACCTGTCTGTGAGCATGATCAGTAGAGAGTGAATGATCAGTAAAAGAGTGAAGGTGATGCTTTAGCCACGTAGCAGGAACAGTTAAACCCAGTTTGGTATCAGTTCCCACCACGTGCACAACTCCTGCTTTAAAAACCAGTACAGAAAAACCCATGTCTCATATGCTCCCCCTGCTGAGCTGTGCTTAACGTGGAAGAATTGCTGGATATCATGCATTTCTTATCCTGTCTTTTTTTAATGACAGATGGTATCAAGTACCTGAATATGCTCCATTACTGATGTTGTTTGTTCAGCTAGGAGCATGCTGTCCAGATGCCAGATCAGCTATTCTGTTCACACCTCTGCTGTGATAAGCCTTGCCATTTATAATTTGTAAGGATTTATAATTACAACACCCGTTTCCTATGGAAACGAGGTTTACACAGCTGTGCTAGCTACACACTGTATAAATTTTATAAATTGCCTCCATCCCCCCCTCCCCCCAAGCAATTTTTGGATTCATTAGCTCGCCTCAGCCCACGATGATAATGAAGCAGATATCCCAGAGATAAGAGGGATTGTGGAAGAAAGCTGTGGAAAGGCTCAAAAGGTGGTGGGGAGAGGGAAGCACCTAGATCTCAGTGGGGACAGATCTTGTGCTGTTGTAGAGGATCCACATTGATGGGGTTTGTCCCTAGGAAAGAACTGATCCCAAATCACTCAGACAGCAGACTTTGTCAGCTCACTGGCAGATGTCTTGGTTTGTGCCATGCTGGATAAGGGTCCTGTTGGGTTTTGGCATTGTCTGGGTGCATGGGGACAGGAGGGAGCAGTCCTGGTGCCACCCTGAAGCAGCTGGGGATGGAGGATCAGTGCAATGAGAAGGTGGGTAGTTGGATTCTGTCTGTGAGCAGGACCCTGGGAGTCTGGCTCCCACCCTGTCTGTGACTTATAGCAAAGACTAACAGATTTAACTGAAAAAGGGTAAATTTAGATTGGATATTGGGAAGGAATTCCTGGCTGTGAGGGTGGCGAGTCCCTGGCACAGGTTGCCCAGAGAAGCTGTGACTGCCCCTGGATCCCTGGGGGTGTCCAAGGCCAGGTTGAACGGGGCTTGGAGCAACCTGGGCCAGTGGAAGGTGTCTCTGCTCATGGCAGGGGGTTGGAATGAGATGAGCTTTAAGGGTCCTTTTCAACCCAAACCATTCTGTGATTCTATGATTGCACTGCTGCAGGAGTAAAGCTGCTCTTGGCCCAGCTGGGATGCTCCAGGTGGGGTTTGGGTGCTTGCAAAGAGCTGCCAAATGTTGTGTTGCCACCTGCAAAGCTTCAGGGGTGACATGCTAAAATGAAGGCTGTCTGTCTTAGCTGCAGGATTTTCATTCTTCTTCTGTCTTCTACTGTCATGCAAAAGCAAATGAGCCCTTCAGTTGTCTCAGCAAACACATTGTTATTCAGGAGAAGCAGCCACAGTCAAACTTGTACAGTATTGCCCCTGCCTGTCAAATGCCAGCATTTGATGAGATGTCAGGGCAAGAAAATCCTCCAGCTGCAAACACTGCACCAGGGTGGGGGAATTACAAGATGTATGAAAAAAGAAGCTGTAGTGGGAATTCACAGACCCGTGGCTCACCTAATGGGATGCCTGCCATGATGATGGGTCGTGTAAATCAGCACCTTCCAGCTTACCTAATGAATTTGAAAGACAAGCTGAACGTAGTGGGGTTGTGGTGATTTCTTGATAGAGAAGGAAAAGAGGTTGAGAAGAAAAGAATGTGTTTATCTTCTTTAACAGCTTGCTTTTGTGTTTAAAAATGGTGTCAACAAATTAAAAATCTCCCTGTGTCCCCTGTTAGTGTTGTTACTAAACAGCAACAGGCTGCTGATAAAAGCAAAACCCTTTTCTGAATCGCACCTGGCTGGACTGGCAGAAAAATCCAGATCCTGTCTTTAATTGATCGGTCAGCCATAATCATCACTAATTGAGTCACCTTAGAGGCGTCTCAGAAGAGGACGAGGCACTACAAGGCAGCTTATCCAAACTGGTTAATGGCTCGATATTTTCCAGAGGCAAGAGCTGGAGTCGGAGAACAAGAAGCTGAAAAATGAACTTAACGAGCTGAGGAAGGCTATTGCAGACCGAGCAACCCAGAACAACTCATCCAACGATGTCCAGGACAGTTACAACCTCTTGCTGAACCACCTGAAAGCGGCCAACGAGGAGCTGGAAGTGCGGAAAGAAGAGGTGCTCATCCTGAGGTCACAGATCATGAAGGCAGCCCAGCAAAAAGAGATGGGGAAAAACATGCTAAAGGAGAGGGTAATGGCTTTTCTTCTCCGTTTTCCCTTCTCTTGGTGGAAATTCAGTGGTTGCCTGAGTGATGCTATTTGTGCTTTGGTAGGCTCTGAGTGCAGGATGGTCTGGGCTGGTTATAGGGGGTTGTACAGGGATATAGGAGGTTCTGCCTATGGATGAGTTGTAGTCCATGACATTTCAGACAGCCCAGGACTATATGTCCCATGGTACTGCTGTAGGGTGCTTAACCCCATACCTGATGAGGCCTAGCCAGCCCACACCAAGGAACAACTTCTCCAGTCCTGTACCAAGGTGTGGTGGTCTGAGATGTTCCTGGTGATGTTTCCTGACAATGCTATTATTCTGCAGGAAAATGGGATGGGGAGAAAGAGCTTCTGGATCAGACTCTGCTCACTTGAGTCTGATGCAGCTGTAATGTGTTTCTACTGCTGTGTAGACGAGAGGACTCTCAAACAGCTGTGATGTGCTTTTGTTTTTCGAGCCCATTCCAATGGGAGGGTTTATTTTCCGAAAACTCTAACTTGGGCTTTTTTTATTCACTGTCTTACCATTCCTCAAGGTTTTGGTACGTTTTGTATTTCAGACCAAGCACCTCACTTAGCCCTCTCTCATATTCACTGCTTCACTTCCACCTCCTCTCTCTCCTGCTGTCTGTTTGCATGTGTGTGAGTTCGTAGAAACTCTCTGGTGTGACGGATGCCCCGAGGGCGCTCTCAATAGAAACTTCTAACAGCTCTTAATATAAAATGGTTGGGAGCAGTTTGGCATCGGGGACTTTCAAAGACAGGGAGAGGTGTGCAGGATGTCATGCTGCTGTTTTGCATGTTGGATTTAGGAGAGCATCCCCAGCAATGCCAGCTGGCCCAACAGCGACAGGCACGTTGACCAGGAGGACGCGATCGAAGCCTACCAGGGGATGTGTGAGACCAACCGGTAAGTGTGGCCCGAATTCTCCCAGCAGCAGGAGGGGCTGACCAAAGGGAAAGAGGTGGAATCCGGACCAAAGCGTGAGACGTGGGATCCAGACCAAAATCATCAACATGTTTTTCAAAGAGTTACCGGATTCTGGATTGTGTTATGGGCCTTGGGTCAAGGATGGGCCACAAAGATGGAATCAAAGACGCGTGTCTTACGGAATCGTAGAATCCTGGAATGTTTTGGGTCAGAAGGGACCTTAAAGATCATCTAGTTCCAACTAGTTCTAATGGGTGAGGAGCCCTCATTGTTAGGGCTGTGTGTGTCTGCAAGAGAGGGGAGATACTGAGCAGGTGGAAAAGCAAACATGAAAGCGAGCAAAACTGGATTTTGACTTTGCTTCCAGTACATAAATAGCAGCAAGACTAAGATTTGGGATATGTGAGTTACTTACTTCAAGTATCTCATACTGTGCTGAGAAGACAGCACGGTCCCCTTCTCATTTTCCCGGAGGCAAAAGCCTGTTGTGGTTAACTGAGCTAACAAACATGCTGTATTCCCTGGAAACACTCACATTATTGCTTTTCTTGCATCCAAACCGAGTGTTGGGGACATCTGTTTGATTACAGGTTTACCATGGTGGGGGTTAATTCTGTGAACATGTGTCTGTCCTTACAGTAACAATGGCCTGATATTGCTAAGCATCGAATCATCCTTGCAGTTATCCAGAAGGATATCAAATAATAAAGTAGTGCCTTGCAAGAAGACAAAATTACATGGATTTAACAGCGAGATAGTATGAAAAGTAAATTTTTATTTCACTCCAAGGAAATTGAATGTTTATCTCTTTTATTTTCTCTCGACAAATACAGATGTTTGAGACTATTTTCCCCTAAATAATTTCTATTCATCAAGATAGAAGACAAAGCCATTGTGGATTAATGGCTTTTAATAATAACACAATATACTTTGCCACTTTTTAGAGGGGTTGCAGAAGGTTGCTAACAGTCCAGGGTGCGACAGACCATGACTTAATGAGGATTTTATTCGTACCTTTATGAATATGAGGAAAGGCACATGATCAAGGCCAGGTTGGATGGGACTCTGACCAACCTGGTCTAGTGGAAGGTGTCCCTGCCTATGGCAGGGGGGTGGAATGAGAGGGGCTTTAAGGTCCCTTCCAACCTAAACCAGTCTGTGATTCAATGATATTTCACTGAAATATAAAAAAAAATCTGAAGAGTTGCTTAATGCTTTCAGAACTGGATGGCCAAAAAGGTGCAATGGGAAAGAGAGATTTCTGGGCAAAAATTCAGTGTATATATAGCTGTGTGGTGAACTTTGGTCATCACGTCTGTGCTGTATTTCCTCCAAATTCCTGCCATAGAATGTGCTGGATTTTCTGAGTTTGCATCCATTTTCCTTCTTGTGAAAGCCCTGGGAGAATCTATGGAGATCTCCTGGTGTGTGAGTACAGAGGTGGACTTGCTGGAAGGGCACATGCATCCCATTTAAACAGAGTTTAAAACCCTGATGGCTGTGCTGAGGCTCTGCCCAGGCTAGTTCTGCCAGCTTTCTTCTTGGCCCAGGGACCTGGAGGAGTGAGGATTGTTGGGGTCCAGGACTCTGGTTACACTGGTTTCTCACCTGAGCATCATGTCTGGCTGGATCAGGACCAGTGTTTGTGGGTTTTTTTCAATTGCCATTGAATATTTGCTTTCCTGAACTGAACTTGCTGATGAAATTTCTGCCCCTCCTGTGATAGAGATGATAAAATTAATTTGAACAAATTAATAATTAATTAGTAAATCAGCGGGGCTCAGTGTGCTTCCAGCAGCAAGGCGTGTTTTTTGGTCACTTAATGAATTCTGTGAATTTTCTCTTTTTTCCTTCCAACGTTCTCCTGGAGCTGTGAGCACTGATGAAATCCCACTGTCAGGCACAGCTTGAATTACACCCTGAGTTTTCCAGTGTGCCTGCGTAGGGATGGTTGGTTTGTGTTCAGAGGTTGGTGAAAGAGTCAAAATAAGAGTTGCTGCTTTTATAAGACGTGTCTGACCAGGTTGCGTCACTAGTCCCGAGTATTAATTGATATCTGGCCATAGTGGTGTACATGTTGTCTGCTGTAGCCTTCCAGGAGATTCCAACCCTCCTTCAGATGGTCTGGTTTCCAGACTTAACTCCTGCAGAGAGAGTTGAATCATGGAACCATTTGGGTTTGAAAGTATGCCTCATGTCCAACTGTTCCCCAGCACTGCCAAGCCCAGCACTAACCCATGTGCCCAAGTGCCACGTCTGCACAGCTTTTAAATCCCACCCAGGGTATATAATTTTCCAGGATCTGATTTTCCACAAGAGCACAGATCCCTTTCCCTGCAATTGCACAGGTGAGCAGCAATTCTAGGAAGTTCACGTGGCCCAGCCTTGGTGGGTTTTGGCCTCTTGAGTTTTGGGAAGGGAAATCTGCTGTCTCCAGGCTCAGTTTCCTATTACCTCTCTCATCTCTCTCTCATATGAAGCTTGCCTGGAGCTTGGCCCTTGTAAGACAGCAGCAGTAGCTCTATATACTCTTACCCTGATTTTCTGTGTTGATTTATCCAGTGGCTCATTAACCACCACCAGCTTTCCCATCATATGGTTCCCTGTGCATTTGCTTGGGTATGGGGTTGATTTATAAAATGTAGGCTAGTGTCAGTGGCAGTAAATCAGGTGAAAACAAATGCTTAGGAAGCATGGATTATTGTGTTTGTGGATATAAATTAACATTCCCTCCCCCCAGCACGAATTTGCATTTGTACTTAGGCAGCTCTATACCCAAGGGTGTCAGCATGAAAAATAGAGCTGCTTTCCCTTTCTGATCTTGATCAATAAATATTTTAATGGGAAGCTTTTCTGGTGGAGTTGCAATTCTGAAGTGGGATTAATAAGCAAGAGACACTTCTCTCACCTGCTCTTGCAAGAATCACTCCCATTTCCCTTTCATAAAATCCTAAAATGGTTTGGGTTGGAAGGGACCTTAAGGCTCATGCAATCCCACCCCCTGCCATGGGCAGGGACACCTTCCACTAGACATGGTTGCTCCAAGTCCTGTCCAACCTGGACTTCAACACTTTTAGGGATCCAGGGGCAGCCACAGCTGCTCTGGGAAACCTGTGCCAGGGCCTCCCCACCCTCACAGACAACAATTCCTTACCAATATCCCATCTAATCCTGCCCTCTGGCAGTGGGAAACCATTCCCTCTTGCCCTGTCCCTCCATCCCTTGTCCCAAGTCCCTCTCCAGCTCTCCTGGAGCCCCTTTAGGCTCTGGAAGGGGCTCTCAGGTCTCCCTGGATCCTTCTCTTCTCCAGGTGAACCCCCCCAGCTCTCCCAGCCTGGCTCCAGAGCAGAGGGGCTCCAGCCCTGGGAGCATCTCCGTGGCCTCCTCTGGACTCTCTCCAGCAGCTCCACGTCCCTGTGCTGTTGTTCCCCAGGGCTGGAGGCAGCTCTGCAGGGGGGTCTCACCTGAGCTATTTAGTTTGGAGTCAGAGCATGGCTTTACTTTGGTGGGAGATGGACCTTGTGTTGTCTCCATGTCCATGTAATGCAGGACTTCTAAATACAGCAGGAGGAAAACAGAAAAAACTCTGCCAGGTGCTGCTGATCTTGCCCACATAGTGATTCTGTCTCCACAAAGCTTTCAGAGGAAAGCCCTTTGATTCCAGGCCAAGGGCAAGTTTGAATCAAAAGCAGCTCTTTATAAATTAAATAAACTCAGCTTGCCTTTTTTTTTTTTTTTTTTTTTTTTGTTCCTTCTTACTTTTAGCTGCTAAAGGGGAAATCATCAAGTTAGTTCCCAGATAATTTTCTGCTTCAATAACTGAGTGTAAAGCTAAGTAGGCTTTTTGTTCCCTGTTTTAATTCTTGGGATCATTCTTTGGAGCCTGTTTGATCTTGGTAGAAACATAGAGCCAAGAGAGACTAGGTGATGATGTTAGAACTAATAACCTGGCAGCTCAAAGTAAATCAGGCTGTGTCTTTGAAATTAGCTTCTGTGATAACTTCCCAAGTGATTTCTGTTGAGTACATGGATTTTATCTTTTATTTTTTTTCTGCTGTGTAAGTCCCACTTGCAAATGCAGTGCAAAGTGAAGGGCTGATGCTGGCTTCACATGGAGGATGCTTTTGCAGCTGAAAGAGGCCATCACATGGAAAGGGTTGCTATCTCTGCTTGCCACTCTCCCATGGGTCTCTTCCCACTCTGCCATTTTGGGAAGGGAGGTGTTTGGGTGGGAATTTCTCACTTTTGATGAGGCCTGTTTGTCCCAGCTGCTCCCCAGACCTGCACCTCCAAGATAAGGAAAAAGGAGAAAGGCTTTGTGAATCAAGCACTTTCAGCTCCTCTCGGCCTTGTTTGAGAAAAGGATTTAGCCAGCATTCTAGGAAATTATGTTGTCACATACTAATTAATGTAATTAGCTTGAAAGGGCCTGTGTTTGATGGCTAATGTCTTGGTCAATCTGAACTTCTGGCAGAAAGGGGAGCTCAGTGATTTCTGAGTCAGTGCTGTGTTGATGGAGATGAACTAAGTGCTTATTTCCCAGGGCAGGTGTCTCTTATATCGGCACTGTATATATTTATTTTATATATAAATAAAGCAGCTTTTCCTTGAGCTGCTCTCCTCATTTACCACAATGCCTGTGGTTTGAAAAAAGGAAGACAATCTATTTTTCAAAGGAGGTTACCCAGGAAAATGCATCTCTTCAAAATGCTGCTCACTGTGTGAGATTTCACAGGTTAGTGACATGCAGTAAATTGTGATGATCCTTCCTGCTTTTTTCCTTGGTTTTCAGTGCCTGAGGATATGTCCTGTTAAGATTATATGAACCAAAAAAAGAAAGACTTTACTAAGAAATAATGCAAATCAGACCAATAAACCTCCTAGTTTCTGTCAGCCTACAAACCCTTTTGGAAACCTGCTGTGTATACGGTAGCAGCAAGGTTTTAATTTAAATTCATGCATGTGGCCTTAACAGATGAACTTTGCAAATGTCAGTGCCTGAAACGTTTGCTGGTTTTGAGAAATGCTGTACACCAGCATGGAAGGGATGTACAAACTGCCTGTGGCAGTGAGACACCTCCTGAGTCCTTTCATGGCAGTGCTGCAACACCGCGTTTCTCACTGCTTTCCTCCTGTGAAAATTTGCTGTACAAAGTTTGTGTGTTGTGCATTTCCAGTGAAATATGCAGAGATTTCCTTGCCAGGGAATGGCTTCTGCTACAGCTCTTTCCAAAACAGAAGATGCATGTTGAGGCTGAGTTCCCTTTTTTTTTTTTTTTTTTTTTGGTGTGTGTCTGAAATATAATGATATATTAAGTTTGGTGGTTGCTTTGTTTACTTTTTAAATTGTTATGTCCAAAAAGAAAAGCTGTTTTCTAACTGACATCGAAGCCAAGTATAATCTTGTTATAACAAGTGTTTCTGGTCAAATTGACCAGCTTACATCACTCATTTGTAATGTGTTCAGCACCTCATTAAGGGAGATAAATGAGTTTCTTGCCTCATATAACTTGAAAAAAAAAAACCCAAACAACAAAAAATGAACATTCTGCTAAATGGAGACTTCTAGTATGAAGGTGAGATGAAACTTTTCTGGGCATTTTTCTGCCTGGACGGATATAGAGGAGATTTGATCTTGTAGGGATGTAAGTGGTGTTTGGACCAGGGGTTGCTCTGAGGAAAGACTTATTTGACTCAATATTTGAGGAAACCCTCAACTGAAGTAGAAGGAGGATAATTTATTTTAGACAGTGGGAGTTGCTGCAGAAGGAAGGAAATGGAGAAACTTGTCTTAAAAATTCCATGTTAGGGAGATATAAAAACAGCAGTTGGGAATTATGATAACCTGCCAGGAGATTGGACTGGATGATCTGTGATGATCCCTTCTGACCTGAAGGATTTTGGGTTTCTGTTGGCAAGATCACTTGCCCAGCTGAGCAGGGAGAAGAAGCTCCACTAGCTAGGAATGTTTTACAGGGCACAACCAGGGCATGGTTCTCTTCAGTGTGGTGGAAAAAGAAATACAGTGTAATGAAAGCGTGTTCTATAAAATAGTATTAAATAAAATTAATAAGGGTTCTGCTGCACCTTTTCTCCTTCTCTTGCAATTGACCTTTTGTCTTTCTTCTGTCCTCTTGTTTCCTTTTTCTGTCCTTTATTTCTAGCAAGACTGAGGACTGGGGGTATCTCAATGAAGATGGAGAGCTCGGCTTGGCTTATCAAGGTTTAAAGCAAGTTGCCAGGTCAAACACTTTCTTTGTTTCCTCGCTGCTGCTTCTCCCTTCTCCTCCCTTTTGCCACCCTTTTGTTTCTTTCTCTTGCTCTGCTCTTACCCTCTGGTCCTCTACAGGACCTGTTGTCTTCTCTGGGAGCAGCTGAAGGTGGGGTTTCCAAACCAGGAGAATTGAGACCCTTCTCTAATTTTCAGGGGAATTGTTGTGATTCTGGCTGGGCATTGCTGATGGTTGCTGTTGCCACTAACACCTGAGCTGTGATTCATTAAGGATTATGTTAAGTTAATGGGAAATTGGGTGATAAAGGTGTTGGGAAGCTGTGACCTCCAAGAAAACAAAAAATCCCTCTCATCTTAGATATATATGTTTTTTTAGTGAAATTGCACTAATATACAGCACCTCCCTAAAGTGTTTTCTCCCAGTCCTTGACTTGTAAGAAGCGGAGTCCCTGTGCTTGTATTCCAGTGCTGTCACCTTTGCTTGCTCCTGGGGACTGTGTGCTCCCATCCATGAGTTGTCCACAGGTGTAAGGAGGAAGGCAAGTGGTGGAAATACAGTGCCATCCTTCCACAGCTCTCCCCACATCCTGGCCTGCTGGGCAAATATCCCACAGGGACACACTGGGGGACTCCTGGATTCTTATCCTGTTTCAGCCTAGTCTTTGGTGGCTATGGGGCTCCAATATTTTTATAAGAGATTTATGGGTATTATAGAGATGAAAACCTGAAATATTTTGTATAAAGTAGTCTAAAGTGGTCACGTGTAGAGGTATCAGGGTAAAACCAGGCAATAACAGGAAAAAATAACAGGGATGATTAATGTGTTTTTCCAAGCAATGTAGGAACCCAAGTTCATAAGAAGGAGTGTGTTCTTCTGAGGGCGTCTCACGGTTAATCCAGACCGAATCCAAACTAATCCCAATATGAAGAAATAAAATGGAAATTAAGTGCTTAATACTTATTTCATGGTGGGTCTGTATTTTCCAAGCCTCTTAAGAATGTAACTCCTGACAGGATTATGAGGCTGAGTGCATTATTGCCCGTGTTTCTATAGGTGGAAAACATGCTTTTCTGTCCTTTGCTGCAAAATGGGAGTAGAGATTGCGTTGTTTAATCTTCTAAAGACATTAACAACAACAACAACAAAACACCATGGGGAATAATTACTACTTTTCACCCAGAAATCTTTCCTAGAAAGCGTATTTTTTTTATGCAAGCTGTGAAAGAAAAAACACAAAACAACAAAAAAAAATCCCATGCCTAATTGTTCCTGCAGGGAAACAGTTCATGGTGAACCTGAAAGAGCTGTAGCTTTTTCCCCCCTGGCCCAGCTCTGTGTCTGTGCTTGTCCTGGGTAAATGCAAAGCTATTGACACTACAATCTTCCTCATCTTTGGGGACTGCTGTTGGCATCTGATGTCAGAAGAGAAGCCTGTGACCTGGGTGTGTGGTGATCCATAGTTCTGCCTAGGAGATCACATCCTTGAGCTACAGCAGGGACATGGACTTATCTCCTTGGGGTCATTCTTCCTCTTTGCCACCATCACCCTCTGTAATCTGGGACTAATACTTTGCAGTTCTTGGCCTGATGGCCCTTCCTCAGAGCCCTCATACCTTTTGGAGTCACTTATTTTAGTCTTCTGAAAGAGCTGGTGGACTAAGAGGAGATTTCTATTTAGCAGAGGGTGGGGACACCCCCAAAGAATCGATTACTGTGTCACCTGCTGAGTTTGTCATCACGCCCACCAGCACAGGCGTCTACAGTTAACATCTCGGTGATGACTCCCTTCTTCCACTGGATTTAAAAAGGCATTCTGGCACTGCCCCCCACATCACATCCCTTTGCTACAGCTGTCCTTGTGCAGAGGCTCAGGGCAGGGCTGGAAGGTGACCTGGAAGGTGTAGGTGAAAGGTTGGTAGGAAGGGTTGGCAGGACAAATTATTAGAGGAAAATGTTGAATGCACACCTAAAAGTGGAAGAAGGGGGTGGTTTTGGTGACTTTTCTCAGCTGTGTATCGTGGTGTTAGTGTTTGTATGTCCTGAGCTAGTAGGAAACAAGTCTGTCCCCCTGCTTGAAGAGTCTTGGTGAGGTCAGCAGCAATGATGAAAGCAGGAACACCTCAAGGGGAAGGAAGATTGCCTTGTGCGTGGTATTCTGCAGGTAGTTTGTAAATGAAAATTGAAATACCTGTGAATATACTTCTTTTTAAACAAAGATGAATAGCAGCTCTACAAAGAACTCTAAGGAATGAGGGCTTCTGCCTTTCTCGACATTCCCAGCAGTAGTGAAAGAAGCCAATGGCATTCCAATGGAATGGAACCCTTTGCAAGAAATACAGTTCAGTTTTCAGAAGTAAGAAATGGTGTTTGACAGGAAATTAGGACAGGAACAAATGTCCTTCAAGCTGGGCTTTTGAAAACAAAACCTGCATGTGTTGGTCTGTGCTGCTTTCTTGCCATGTGTTTGCTTTTTGCAAGTAAAGGAACCCAAACTCGTGATACAGTTAAATGAAAAATGGCAGCTCTTGGATTTTTTTTTTCCCTTTTATTTAAAAAACCCCCACCCAATGTTCGATGTCATGTCTTGAAGTTTCAAAAGTATTTCAGACCAACTCAAATATTGGTTACTACCTCAATGCTGAAATCACAGGCTGATCAGTGTGATCCTGTCCTCAGGCTGCTGGAAGCACAGCTCCAGGATCAGAGAAGGAAGCACGAGGAGGAGATGGAAGGTCTGAGAAACCAGCTGGATGCAATGCAAGAAGAGCTGCAGAAACAGCAGCAGGCCTCCCTGCAGACCCTGCAGCTCTCTCCGGAGGTCCAGGTGGAGTTGGGACTTCAGCAAGAAATTACACGTCTCACCAATGAAAACCTGGTAAGAGGTTGTGCTGAAAGCACAGGAAGAGGGGAAAGAAACAGGTTGAGAGAAAGGAGATAGGAAACATGACGGGGAGGGGAGGGCAGGGCACAGGGATCTCTTCCACTCCTGCAGAACCATCAGCATCTCCCTGGTGCATCTGGGAACACTGGTGCCTGACCTCAAGCTGATGTTCTGTTGCTGTATGACTTTTGTGACTACATAGGTACTTTTTTTTTTTTAAAGATGTTTTTTTAAGCCCGTCTACTCTGTGGCCCTGCCTACCAAATTATATCACTGGGGGTGCCTCTACTCTGTCATTACACACAAAGACCACACAATCCTTTCATCTTTCTTGGGCTTTCTGGAAGTGTGGAGGGGCAGTTGCCACTTCAAAAAGTTGGCCTGCCTGATCATAAATTTTCCCTTTCTCACCTTCTGTATCTATGTGCAAGGTCTGGAGGAAATGTTGGCACCTCCTGAGTTCAGGTGAGGGCTTCTTGCCTTTGCCAAAAACCCTAGTATCTAAATGGTGTTTGAACTGTTTAATCACGATTAACAGCCAGGATTAAACACTGTGGGTGTACAGTACTACTTGCTGTAGAAAGCAGGTGCCCAGCATTCACAGTCTTTGTGGTGTAGGTAAGGGTCTTTCTGAGCAGTCCAGAAACAACACAGCTCTTCTTCTACCAACATACTCCCACCATGCTACGGTGATTCTTAGACCAGACTTCAGCCTTAAATTCACCCCAGATGAGTTGTTCTTGGGCTTAATGTTGGGGGTAGTTTTTAAAAAATGCATCTTACTTTTTTCAGGATCTGAAAGAATTGGTAGAAAAGTTGGAAAAGAATGAAAAGAAGCTGAAGAAACAGCTGAAGATTTACATGAAGAAGGTCCAAGATTTTGAAGGTGACTTTGCTGTTGGAAGGCACTGGGATGGGGGAATTGTATTTGTAATTTGCTTCTTTGACCAGCCTTGGAGAGCTGCAAGGGTTTTTTTTTTTTCTCTTTCTATGAAAGTAAGATTTTGCTCATTCTGGTACCAAACTAGGAGCAGGCACTGAGCTGACACTGACCTTGTACTGAGGTTTGGAGGGTGTTTAGAGACCTTTTTGCTTTCGTTGCATTCAATGCAGTGATCCAGGCAGAGGTACAGAGAGGAGACTAGTGGCTATCAGGCAAATGCTCTGATCTGTCAATTTTGAGGAGAGATTGCAACCCTTTAGGAATGAAAATATATATTTATATTCTGCTTGATGAGAAAACACCTCAAATGTGACATCTCTGTTGTGCAGAAAGAGCTTCCCGTTCTCTGGAGAAGCGTGATTAATCAGAGGGCCCCATTCTCATGAGCTAATTCCTGGAAATGAGGCATTAAGTGAAATTAAGCTGAATAACTGGAAGGTTTCCATGGCTCACCCAGCTGGTCTCTGTCAGTGTGATTTGCATGCTGTTTGCTGCAGTATTTGCATGCTGGTCTCTTCTGCTTTATTAAACTTGAGCGGTGCCACCGTGGCTCTGCAGCTTTGCAGACAGACAGAAGATGTGATGCTTAGGGATTTATCATTGCCTGCCTATTTTTTCCCCCCCTCTCTGCAAAAACCATACACTAAAGAGCTTCCCACAGGATTACCACCTTCTAGCCTGTGGTCTCTTGGAAAATAAAAATGGCTTCATTTTTTCCTCTCGTAAGTTCAACTTTTGCACTTTTTCTTTCATTCAAGAGTCTGAAAACTCTGACTGGTAATTCAAGATCTGCTTGTTTATATTTTTTTATAGGTCTGTCAAAGCTGATGGCATTATTGGGAATTTATTATATAACTCTTTGACTTGGTGTCTGCACTTAGGCCGTTGCAGGACGTGAATAGTTCTTGATTTCCAGGTACAACCATTCATGCTCTTCTCTCCTCACAGCATCCCAAACCACGCTGCCAGCAGACAGGAGGCCACACGACAGTAACATGCAAGTTGCTGTCCAGAGGAAGGAGAAAGATTTTCAGGGCATGTTGGAGTATTACAAAGAAGATGAGCCACTCCTCATCCGAAACCTCATTACAGGTGAGGAATTTCCTCTACTCCTTTGCCTGACTCGTGCTTCTTTTTCCTGGGAGCGTTTGTGAACTTGTGAGATCAAGGTAGACAAATAGATCATCTCAAATTAATCCCTTCTGGGGCTGCATGTTTGTGGTGATGGCAATTGGGGTAGGTAAAGTAGCTGCACTAAGCAGGTAGACCAGCATGGATGTAATCCTTAGGGATAGCAAAAAATTGGAAATGCAAAACAAGGCTGCAGTTTTTAGAGCAGGCAGTAAGTTGCTGATGTAGTAATAGATGGGGAGGGGGTAGCAGAAGGATAGACCCTGGGGATTTGGAACAGCAGTGGAACAAAGGCAGTTTGGTTTATGAGGTAATAATAGATAACAGATAATGAACCTGTGAGCTCTTCTCTGCTGCACAGACTGATCAGAATTGCTGCAGCATCCCCCTGTTCTGTGCTGTTTGAGAAGCCTTGTGAGGATCCAAAAAGTGTTCAAAGAGAAGTGCTACTCATTGCTGTGGTCTTTGAACTTCCCCTAATCAGACAGGCTTGTTCTGTAGAGGCTACAAGTGCCTTCAGCTACCATTAGGATTCCGTATCTTGATGGAAGGAGAGATTTACTATGTCATCAGTTCAGAAGAGGGGGGGGTATAAACTGTGGCAGGTACACCTGAAAGCTTCAGGGGGCTTTTCTGAGGTGATTTGTGTCCTGCTGGGGTAGACTTTTACGTGGTGAAGAAGCTCTAACCCTACCTGTGCATCCATCAGATGTAGTGGGATGCTGTCACACACCTCAGTGCAAACAGTGCTGCCCTCCCAAGCCCCAGTGCTGTGGCTCCTCAGCAGGTCCATCTGTCCTGCAGCTGGACCTCTGGTTCTGTGTCCATGCTGCAGAGAGGGATGCAAGTTGCAGAGCCAAAATATCATTTTCCCCAGGGCTGGGGAAAGAAGGGTTTGCCTGGGTGCAAAGGTCTCCAGGTCTGGTGTTCTCTGCTTTACTTGTCGGTTGGTAAAATTTTAAGTTTGTTTTTTGTGGGGTTTGTTTGCTTGTTTGGTTGGTTGGTTTTTTAATTGTCAAACCTTCTAGATCTCAAGCCCCAGGCAGTGTCTGCTACTGTTCCCTGCCTTCCTGCCTACATCCTCTTCATGTGCCTCAGACATGCAGATTACATCAATGATGACCAGAAGGTGCACTCCTTGCTTACCTCCACCATCAACGGCATTAAGAAAGTGCTGAAGGCAGGTGTCCCTTTGCTCTTGTCTTGGGGTTGAGATGCTGTAAAATGGTAATAACCATGTCCTAGTCTGTGATATTCAGCTCTTACGGTGATTTGCAAGCCAAATCACTCTTAGAGCTTCCCTTTTTAGAACAACAAGGAGAATTATGATCTAAGCAATAGAACTGTTTGCATTTATGGATTCTTTTTAAAAAAAAGTTTGTAGGGAGGAAGTGGCTAATACTGCCCATCTGCAGAGAGAAAGCTGCCTGATTCTAGGTGGAGAAACTCAAAATTGTCTTGTCTTGCTATGCCAACATCCCCCAAGGAAGGGGAGGGAGGATCTCACGGGTTTTAATATCGTTTCTCCAGAAACACCACGAAGACTTTGAGATGACGTCGTTTTGGCTGGCGAACGTGTGTCGCCTCCTGCACTGCCTGAAGCAGTACAGTGGAGACGAGGTAAGAAACCATCACTGGCCTGGAGTGTGTTGGGATTCCTCCAGGGAGGCTCCTTGAATCTCCTGGGTGCAGTGGCTTCCCTCTAACCCTCCCTGGCGTGATCTCTGACTTCCCTCCTTTGTTAATCTAGTTGTAACATGAGGCAGCTCCTGGAATTTTAAAATCCCAGAATGTTTTGGGTTGGAAGGGACCTAAAACCCCATCTTGTTCCAAACCCCTGCCATGGGCAGGGACACCTTCCAGTAGACCAGGTTGCTCCAAGCCCTGTCCAGCCTGGCCTTCAACACTTCCAGGGATCCAGAGGCAGCCACAGCTTCTTTGGGCAATCTGTGCCAGGGCCTCACCACCCTCACAGCCAAGAATTCCTTCCCACTATCCCATCTAACCCTGCCCTCTGGCAGTGGGAGGCCATTCCCCCTTGTCTTGTCACTAACAGATAATCATAACATGAGATTTCAGAAGGAAATTCTGTCATTTCTTCCCATCTCAGTAATATTTCCTAAGTTGAAGTAAGTTCTGTTATAGCTGATCCCCTCCAACAAAATGAGATTATCACAGTCCTTCCATGACAATGCATGCTGCCATCCTTGTAGCTATCTATTCTGCATATTGTATTTTTTAACAGAGCCAAAGACTGGGGTTTTTTGTTTAGTCTTGATTTTTCTTAGATATATTCAGCATTCAAAGTCTAACAATAAATAAAAAACAATTTCAGGCAATGTAATTAACTATTTAGGTAATTCAAAAGATAATGATTTGTGTGTAAAACCACAGTCCTGGACTTGGAATATTTAAAATTAAAATTTAAATTAAAAAGGAAAATAATTTAGAGAACAGTTACTAGGAGTTAGGCTCCCATTTGCCCTCTTCTGTCTGGATAATAATATTACATTTAAAGAAAATCTTCCCCAGAAAACCAGCAGGATAAAAAGAAACCAACCCAAGCTTAAATTTCACATTCTTGCCATGATTTACTGTGTTCAATGAATCAGCTGTTTGCAAATTCCATCGATAACTGGATGCAAAAAAAAGAGAGGAAAAATAATTCTGAGCAGTTTCAAAAATACTGTTCTCTTTAGTTTGAATTCAACCTATTTTTAAGAAAAGACTTAAAAGAAAATCCCAAACTGTGTGCAGTCTTTTCACGTGAAGAGCGTGCTCTTTGATTAGTCAGGAAAATGGGGAAATTGTGACATCAACTCAAATATCCACATGTTGTATTTTTGCATTTTGCTCGTCAGCAACCAACGAAAACAGTTGCATAGTTCTCACTTTGACAGCAATTAAGACCATATGAACAGGCAATTAAAGCATCTGTGTTAATTGCAAAATTACTGTACATCACATTTGCTTCTGCCTCTAACACTGGTATTAATGTTCGAGCCCAGACTTCAGGGCTTACGGCATCCCCACACAGCATCAGAGATCAGCTGCTTCTTCAGCAAAAGGCAGGCAACAAATTTGGCTATTTGGAGAGATTTATAAACCTCAGATCAGTTTGAATGTTGTCAAAGCACATAGCACGCGGTTATAACTTTTTCTTCAATTTTCTAAAACCTTAATTTCTAAATACTTGGTTTCCCATGAACAACTGCAGTTCAAAAAAGGGGTAAGCACATAGCTAAGAAGTAATTTCTCTAGGACTGAAATGTCGTTTTCTAGCTTCTGTGTGTTGCAATTAATAGAAACGTTGCTCCTTGCTAAAGCTAAAATGAAAAACTGATAGTCTAATGATTTTCTTCAAAAAGTAGTCCTCTAGTAATAATTTATGAACAAATGCCTGAGTAAATCAAAGGTGATTTATGAGTCTCGAGCTTTTCTATAATAGAGTAAAAAATGTACTTTGGGTATATTGTACTCCGAGGGTGTGAGGGTTTTTTTTTTAACGCAGTGATTTTGATGGACTGTAAATGGGTGGAATAACGAACCTGGGTGTTTTGCTCTCCTCCTGCTCAGGGTTTCATGACACAAAACACGCCGAAGCAGAACGAGCACTGTCTGAAGAACTTTGACCTGACCGAGTACCGCCAGGTGCTGAGCCACCTCTCCATCCAGATCTACCAGCAGCTCATTAACATAGCACAGGGCATCCTCCAGCCCATGACCGGTGAGTTCACAGCCTCTAGGAGCGTGTTTCCTGTCTGAGATTGTCTGCTCTGACTGTTTTTCAGACCTCTGCACAGTGCTAACATGACCTGGGAGAGTTTTTATTTTCCCCCGTGATAGAAACCAATAAGGATGAGGGGGGTTTTTTTTGCACCTTGATTGAAGGTATCCCTTTCCTTTCTGTTGGGGAGGTAGTGACAGAGGTGAGGTGGTGCTGGTGGGTTCCTCTCCACACCAGGTTCATGGTTAACCTCTTCATGGGTGGAAATGTGTGGAGGAGAAAACTGGGAAGAGGAAAAAGACTATGAAGACCTTGTTTTGCAAGGATGAGAGAACTATGAGGAGAGTTACCTCCTTGACCAAATCCCTGAATCTGAGGAGTGCCCCATCCCTGGCAGTGTTCAAGGCCAGCTTGGACGGGGCTTGGAGCAACCTGGTCTAATGGAAGGTGTCCTTGTTCATGGCATAATGTGCTAGGATTCCGTGATATTTGTGTACTTTTTAACTGTTTCGTATTATCAGAGCAAACCATCAATTCATGGATCTGCCCTGCTCTCAGACCTCGCAGCACCCACCACTTGCATCACTGAGACTGATACGTTTGTTACAGCTCACAGAGGAATCTGTTCTTCCCTCTAGCGACTAATAAGTAGGTGGATACAGGCTTTTTTAGCTCATTTTCCCCTTTTTTCAGTGTCTGCGGTGTTGGAAAATGAGAGTATCCAAGGGCTTTCTGGTGTCCAGCCAATGGGCTACAGGAAATACGTCTCCAACTCACCAGAAGCTGACACGTCCTACAGCCTGGACAACATGATCCGCCAGCTGAACACGTTCCACAGCATCATGTGTGACCAGGGTCTGGACCCAGAGATCGTCCAGCAGGTGTTCAAGCAGATCTTCTACATGATCAATGCGGTCACCCTGAACAACCTCCTGCTGAGGAAGGATGTCTGCTCGTGGAGCACGGGCATGCAGCTGAGGTGGGGCTGGGGCTTGGGGCAGGGATGGGCCTGCTTGAGGAAGTTCTGTTAATTAAGTGCACTTCTCAGAGGAAATGATTTAAATCTTCCTTTTGCTACCCGCTCCCCTTTCAGCATTGGAGCTTTGTGTGCTCCCCTTGAACTGGGGGGTGGGAACAGCAAAAGCTTTTATGGAGGTATTTTCAAAGGTACCTGGGTGCCCTGCAGGATTTTGTTAGCTTTTAAAAGCTGGTTAAAAGCTTCATTTTAATTGACTGTTGAAACTTGGAGGAATCTGAATGCGCCTCCCTTGTGCTCTTCAGCTGTTACATGGCTCATCTATTTGTAAGGTACGTAGAGTATAAATTTTTCTCTGAGTTGTTGAGTATTAAGCGTTGTTCTGGTAGTCTCTTGCTGTGTGTATCAGAACTATGCATCACAAAAAGCCACATATACCAGCACTACAACATATCTTGAGCCTCATGGAGGATTTTTGAGCTGCTACGCCTTCTCTCTGAGCTTGCATGTTGTCTCGGTTGCTTACTCAGGTTTAACATAAGCCAGCTGGAGGAATGGCTGCATGGGAAGAATCTGCAGCAGAGTGGAGCAGCACAAACTTTGGTGCCCTTGATTCAGGCAGCACAGCTTCTGCAGCTGAAGAAGAAAACCTCGGAGGACGCCGAGGCCATCTGTTCCCTGTGCACATCACTCACGACCCAGCAGGTAGGCAGCAGGGTAGAGGTTTACACCACAGGGTATGGATGATTAAAGGAGTGGGAAAGGGGGGTCCCCTGGTGCCAGTTCTTCACCGTCCAGCCTCAGTCTGCCATTCCCTCAGCGGGGGCAATCTGTCCTTTTCAGGAGTGACTCCTCTCAGAGGTGGTCACTGTGGTGGCTCCTCTCTTACAGTGCCACAGATGGCACTGGAGCTCCAGAAGCATGCTGAAATGAAACCCACCCCTGAGGAGTTCAAGGTGTAAGTCAGACTCTTGGGATTTTAACCCACCTGTTGTCTTCTGCCTGGCTAGGTCTGCAGGATGCCCACCAAGGATTCCTATTTGGAGCAGGAGAAGTGCCCACCTAGGCTGGATGGATCTGACCTTAAACTTTGAGACTCCATCCCAGGAGGATATAAACTCATGTTTTTTGCTGCTGGATTGCCCGGTCTAAATTTGATAATGACTTAAGAAGTGAGAGGTGTGAGCTGATCTCCAGCGATTCTTGGAGAGCCTTTCTAATGTATCTCCATCTCTCTGTCTTGAACAAGTGTTTTTGAGAGAAACTGAAGGGTAGTAGGGGAGGAACAGGAGTAAGGGAGCATCAAGAGAAGCATTGTAGAGGTGACATCTGAAGTCACCCATAACACCATGTGCCAACTAAGTGGCATCCCTGTACAAACCTGTTGTCCAAGTCTATTCCCAGTTTACAAATGTTGCAATAAGAAGTGACTTTGAGAGGTCCATTGCAATAACTTACAGGAGGCAAAGGAAAACACCAGGACAAGATTAGTGCTGCTTCTGCTTCTCATTTGTGTCACAGGAGACTTATTATGGCCTTATCATGACAAACTGTTAGTGATGCTTTGCATTCTGGAAAGGTTTGGCTTCTTATGACTCTCTGTAATCCTATTTTTTTTTTTCAACAGATCGTAAAGATACTTAATCTCTACACTCCTGTGAACGAGTTTGAAGAACGTGTGACAGTAGCTTTCATACGAAACATACAGGTAAATTTAAATGGCTGTAAACTGGAGGGCACGAATGGCATCTGTGTAATTCCAGTGACATCTGTATTAAATCATTGCTAACTCGGGCATTTTGCAATAGGCATGCTGCTGCATGTTGTCCTGAGTTCAGGACACACGTACAACACACAGCTGCAGGGTTAACCAGGCTGTTAATCACAAAATGAAATAAGCACCCAAATTCCCAACTCAGCTAGTTCAGCTGTTTAGTAAGAGCACAAGGTTGCAGGAGTCAGCAAAGCATTGGGGAAATGGAGCTCCTTCTAAGACACGAGGTAGAAATTTGGAACTAAAGGAAAAATAAAACACTTTTTAATGCTCAGAAGGAGGAAGCAGGAAAAAGAAATGTGTTCAGCTACCCACAGAATATGTTTCTGTCGCTGAGCAGCTGAATCAAAGAGAGACTGCTGGTATTGTGCAGTGCTAGTTTTTCTGTGCAAGGGGGTCATGTTGCTTTGAGGTTCCTGTATCTTGCTTTGTGCTCATCTGGAAAACAAAGCCAGGTTCTCCTGAAGCAGTGTTTTCTACAGTCTGTGTAGAAGTTCCTTGCTCAGAGGAAAGCTGCTGCAATAGAGAACAAAGTAGTTCTCACTTTTCTGCACTGTCTATAAAATTATGTACATTCTCACCACACAGGCAAAGAAAAGGCAACAAGGGATACTAAATTTGTTTTCTTCTCCCACACCTCATAGATGCACTTGCAGGAACGGAATGACCCTCCACAGCTGCTGTTAGACTTCAAGCACGTGTTCCCAGTTTCGTTCCCGTTCAACCCATCCTCCATCACCATGGACTCTATTCATCTCCCTGCTTCTCTCAACTTGGATTTTCTCAATAAAGTCTGAAGAAAGTAGAATTAAGCTCACCTCTCATACCCAGAGACCTCCAGCAATGAAAGAAAAAATCATTAAAGGAATTTAAGGAGCTCTTTAAATATGGACCAAACAGGCTTGTGGAAGAACCAGTGCACAGTAATGTATGGATGTTGAAATGTAGAGTAAAAAGAGGGACTGGTCCATATGTTTTTGGGTTGGTTTTTTGTTTTTTGTTTTTTGTTTTTTTTTTTGTAATTTGTGGCTCAGAAATAAGGATACTTGAAAAGTAGATTTATTTTTTACTGCTTGATTTGATGTTGACATAGTTCAAAACCCATAATCATCTCCAAACGCCACTAACAAAAAGGAACAGGAAGTGGGAGACAGCAACGGCCTGGGATGCTGCTTGTTTCCACTGATGTGGAATTTGTCACAAATTCTATGTTTGAGAAATGCTGTTGTTCCTCCTAACTACATCCAGTGCTTCTGCTTCGTGGGAATTTAAATAAATTGGCAGCGTGGACTTTCCTCCATTACCAAATTTACATTAGCAAAGGTTTTGTCGTAGCGAGATAACCATGATACAAGAAACTGCCTTAAGCCTTCTGCTTGTAGAATAGCATCACCCTGATCCCTACTGTTGGCTTTCCCTGTGCTTGTAAGTGTCAAAAGCTTTCATCCAGTGGCTATCAAGGTTCTTGGACCTCTTACACGGCGTGTATCAGAATCTCATGCATAGATCACGCTAAGGCAGCCCAGTTTAATTACAGGGTCCCCAGCACTAATTAGTTCCGTGTGTAAGTCCTAGCTGTAGCTGTCCGTGGAAAAACTCTGTGTTCATGCCAGTAGCCCCCCCAAAATGCTACCAGTTGTGCATATACAGGGCTTAGAGAAATGAAGAGAATACTTAAAAAAAAAAAAAAGGTTTAAAAAAAAAAAGAAGTGAAATGTTCTAACACAAAAAAAGTTGTCAGATGGTGTGTTGGTAATGTGAGCCATTTCTTTAAGAATGAACACGAACTCTTTGTCTACAACGAGCTTAAATAAATAACTGCAATCAGTGCAACCTCTGTTAGGATTTTTTTTACTAAATTTATTAGCTTCAGTTTAGAAACAAACCAACCTTCTGGCCTCACCACACTGATGCTGGAGAGCACCAGCTGCTCACAAAGACAGTCACTGTTTTTTCTTGGTACTTCCACAACACATTGAATTTTCAGTGGCTGCCGAGCAGGGAAAGAGGTGGGTTCCCATGGTTGAGTGGTGCTGCTCAGAGTGGTGATGCTCCTGCCACAGCACAGTGTGCCAAATTGCAACCAGGATGTTTGGCGACCAGCATTCTGCCCTTTCCACTTCCACAAGGATCTTGTCTAAATAGATCTTAACCTGCCTGCTTTTGTGGTCCTGGTTTCTTTTGTGGCCCGTAATTTCACGATGGTTAAAAAGCTTTCAAAGAAAAACCCAGTCTCTCCATCTGACTACTTTTATTTGGTGTAAATCGTATCCAAACACTGCTACACTGTCTGCTCAGAGGTTTAAAGAAGAATGTGAAGTGTCTTGAAGGTACACTAACTCCTGTCTGCTGCAATTAACCCTTTTAGGCTAAAAGTGTGTTTTGATTTAAACATCATGTATATAATCTATGTATATACAAACTGTAATAGTCCTGTATGTACTAGATAGCTGTATATAGTACACTTCTAAAGGAAAGCACATTTTTAAAGGAAAAGCTGAGTGCTGTGAAGAATTGTATTGGTCTATGCCAGTGGATAAATACCTTGTTTCAAATGGAGACTGGTTTAGACCGGCTGTTACCACTGAAGGACAGACTTAAGGCTAAGAAAATATTTTTTTCTCCCCTAACCATCACCCAGCTAATCACAGAAGATGTTTTGCTTGTATAGAGCCAGCACTACCTCCAAACTACAGTCCTTGAGCACTCACATCTGCTGTGTATTCAGTAGTGCCTTCATCTCCCCTTTATATTCAATGAGGGTAGTGCCACCAGTTTGCTGTCTGTGCCCAGCAAGCCCACACTCCTGTCACCCACTCATCTACACCACCTTTATTTATTTGTACCTACCTCTTTTCACAATGAATGTCTTTGCAGTGCTCTGAATTTTTTTTAATTGTCTCCCATCCCTTCCTTCCAAACTCTAGTAGTCATCACGGTTCAAGAACAGATAATTCGAAGTGGAATTCACCCTTTCTGTAAGGTGGTTTTAACACAGAGCTATTGCTCAGGATTCATAGTAGGTCAGCAGTTTCCTCTCAGGCACCTCAGGTCTCTACCTCTCACTGAAGTAAATTATTTGCAGTACAATTCCCACGAGATTGATTAAACTAATGCTTATCACTCAGACTAATGACAGGTTGCTGCAGAATCCTCTTCTGCAACAATTTTGTTCCTGATCACAATTATAAAATGGGCTTAATGGTCTTCTAGGGGATAATGGTCCTTCCACGTTCAGGATCATAATTTATATGTACTTTCTTAAAAACTCTTGGTACGTATAGATGGGAACTGGGATTTAACGTCTTGATCTGTGATCATGTAGTTTATCCAGTAAGATCCATCTGAAAGAGGACACTGTATGAAATATCTTTAATATATGTTATCTTTTCTGTTAGAAATTTTTAAAATTTGTATTTAAATGTTAGTTAAATTGCTATGTTTGGGCATGCCTTTCCTCAGATTAGCAATTCTTTATTTAAAAAGCTAATCGAACACAAAGCATGGCTTTGAGAACGCTGGCTCTTCTCCAGTTCTGTCTTTATTTTTAAATATTGATTATTCAGTTGAGTATTTTCCCACTCTGTGCCTTTAGCTCAACCACTGTTTATCTGAAAAAAGCATTAAAAGAGGGGAATATTTTTATTATTTGGTCATAGAAAAAGTTGTCTGTGGATTTAAAACCCTACTTATAAAATCTTACTTTGACAAGGTCTGCAAAAACACTTTGAATTTCCCAGGAAAAAAAACCAATACTGACCCATGCTGACTGTTGCATGTATGACATATCTCAGAAAAGCACTATTGGGAACAAAATAAAATAAAATAAACGTTCTAAAACCCCCAAATCACATAAATCAGCAGCATTTCAAACGCAACACTTCAAACGTGAGTTCAGGCATGTGCTGGCTGACCTACAAGAAACATCCAGGACAATGTCCGTGTTTCATTTTCACCAGAAACTTCCTTTGCTATTTTTCTTTTCCTTTTATTGGCATTTTGTAGCTGAGGTTGCTTATCTTGTCTGGTAAAGCTGCTGTAGAACATTGGACCTTAAGACTGATTTGATGCAATCCTACATCACTATCATTTTTTGCTCATGCAATTTATCCCACTGGATCTAAAAGAATTTCTTTGTAGGAGCGAAACAGTAACAAAATGTGGGCATGTTTTAAGCAGAGTTGCTGCCTTTAATCATCCTGCAGCTTGCTCACTGAAATCTTTGTCGGACCTGACCTTTTATTTGCGTGATTTGCAAAAGATACAAATGAAACAGCTGCACTTGAAACAACAGGTTGTTTTCCTCCCTTTTCAACGGTAAATGCATAAAATTGTTCAAACTTATTCTTTCAGACCATTAACTGAAAAATTAGCATTTTATCATTGCATATAAATAGAACCTAATTAAAATAAATTGCATGAACACCCATGAACCTTTTTCCTCTGACTTTGTTGATTCACATATATATAACAGTCATAAATGGATTATTTTTTTTCTGAAAGAAATTCGAGCAAGGTAGATGATAAGTAAAACAATCCAGAGGACATATTCCCCGATGAGTATCCAAATTATTTCAAGGTGTGAATGCCAGTGGACAAAGACTTTCAAATGAATTTGAAATTAGAAGAAAAAAATTATGTATTTAAAAAAAAAAAAAAGTGCTACTGTATTGCAATATCTATTTTATTTGTTTGGGGATTTTATTTTATTTTTTCTTTGGTGTGAAGCGTCTACCTTAACGAGCAGAAGGTATAGCTGCTGTCAAAGTTGAATGATATACATGAGTGAATACTGTAGATGAAATACTACTGCTTATAGAATATTTTTTCATTTTGAACAAATCTGTAAACTACACCTTTGTTTATAAGAAAATGCTTGTAATAGTCACTGTGCTATTCAGATGGGGATAAAAACAAAATTTGTGAAATAAACACTTTTGAAGAAGTTGTGACTTGTGGTCAAAAATGGAAATGTAAAAAAATAACCTCTATCAATATTTAGTTCTGTCTCTTGGAAACGCTTCTATTTTAACATTACAAAGTAGCTTCATAAACATTACAAAGTACTTTATGAAAAAATTAACAGTATCAAAGGTTTTACTCAAGACACTGAAAGGTTTAGAAATTATAACTTCATTTCAGAGATGCTGAAATAATCTGAGCAAATTAGAAATGAATTGAGTGCGGAATCTTAAGGCCTTGAAAGCCACTGTGAATGAATGAGGAAGAGGGGATGTACTGCCAGCCCTTGTGCATGTGCTTAAATCACAGAATCAGAATCACAGAACGGTTTGGGTTGGAAGGGACCTTAAAGTTCATCCAGTTCCACCCCCTGCCATGGGCAGGGACACCTTCCACTAGACCAGGTTGCTCCAAGCCCCATCCAACCTGCCCTTGAACACTTTCAGGGATTCAGAGGCAGCCACAGCTGCTCTGGGAAACCTGGGCCAGGGCCTCAGAACCCTCACAGACAGCAATTCCTTCCCAATATCCCATCTAGCCCTGCCCTCTGGCAGTGGGAAGCCATTCCCCCTTGTTCTGTCCCTCCATCCCTTGTCCCCAGTCCCTCTCCAGCTCTCCTGGAGCCCCTTTAGGCTCTGGAAGGGGCTCTCAGGTCTCCTTGGATCCTTCTCTTCTCCAGGTGAACCCCCCCAGCTCTCCCAGCCTGGCTCCAGAGCAGAGGGGCTCCAGCCCTTGGAGCATCTCCGTGGCCTCCTCTGGACTCTCTCCAGCAGCTCCACGTCCCTGTGCTATTGGGTCCCAGGGCTGGAGGCAGCTCTGCAGGTGGAGTCTCACCTGAGTGGGGCAGAGGGGCAGAATCACCTCCTTCAGCTTCAAATGAGACTTAAATAAGTCAGTGGCAGAGAGAGAAAATATGGGAAAACCCTCAGGTCTTTTAAAAGACAAAGTTGCATGTTGCTGTACATCCACTGATTTATAGATTCATTAAATCATTGGAATTATGTAGCAAAAACAGTTGAAAGACTCTTGTAAATAAAAAAAATAAAAATCTCCACAGGAAAACATTTTTTCTTCTAGAAAATTTATAGAACTTAAATTTTGTTCATGAAGACGTGCGGCAATTTTTGTTTGTACACGAAATATCTTCACCAATCTTCTCATCTTCAGCCTGACAGTCTGGACGGTTCCACTGAAGCATTTATGCACATAAATCAAGGTACATACTACATACTTCAAGGTGCATTTTCAACCACCAGAACTGTGGAAAGTGAGTTTTGTGGATCCCCCGGTGCAGCTGAGAGCTTGCTTATTCTTGGCCACAAGAGTCATGAGGCGCAGGCTTTTTTAGCTCATTTTCCCCCTATTTTTTCAATGTCTGCAATGTTGGAAAATGAGAGCGTCCAAGGGCTTTCTGGTGTCAAACCGATGGGCTACAGGCAGCTCCTACTCTCCTCCATCCATGTCCAGGAAAGCAGGGCTGCAACCCTCCACCAAACCCCTTCAGCAGGTTTGTGGTCAGAAGTTGCGCCAGGAGAGGTTGAGGTTGGACACGAGGAGGAATTTCGTCATGGAAGGGGTGGTCGGGCCTTGGCAGGGGTTGCCCGGGGAGGTGGTGGATCCCCATCCCTGGAGGTGTCCAAGGAAGGACGGGACGTGGCACTCAGCGCTCTGGGCTGGGGGACAAGGTGGGGATCGAGCACGGGTTGGACTCGATGGTCTTGGCGATCTTCTCCAACCTCCATGACTCTGTGATTAACTGTAATTAACAGTAATTACTGTGAGGCGTTCGGGGATGGCTGTGGGCGCTCAGCTCGCCCTCACGGATCGCGGGCCGCCCTCGCCTTCGCCCGCCGCCGATTCGCCAAAGCCACCACTGGAAAATCGAACCGAACAGAGGCGGAATTCAAAAAAAAAAAAAAAAAAAGGAAAGAAAACCAGCACAACAACACATTCTAAATAAGTAAAATAATACACTAAAATTACGGATAGGTTAACCCATCAAACGAGTCGCCTCCCGCGCGTTCCTTGCCCCGCCCCGCCCCCGGCGTGGCGAATGTGCGGGGCGGGCGCGGCGCTCGGCCGGGGCGCGGAGCGGGGCAGGAGCGGAGCGGGGCGGCCATGGCGCTCCTGAGGGGTGAGGATCCCGCGTCCCGCGGATCCCGGCACCCGGAGGGATCCCTGAGGGCCAGGCGTCAGGGCTCTGGGGCGGACGGAACCGGTTGTAGGGGCCCCTTACCCGGGGCGGGGGGGGGGGGGGGGGGGGGGGAAGTGGGGGGCAGCTCGTGTTGCCCTCAGGAATTGCAAAATAGAGTCCCCGAAGCTGTTCCTGTCCCTCCCCTGGGATTTACCCCCTCCAGCTGTCCCGTCCGTGCCGTGTCAGCGCGGCCGAACAGCTGGGAGTAATTGGGAACTTCCAAAAGACAGCGTGGGGTCAGAGGGTGGGAACGGGGGTGAGAGCGTGGAGAAGGAAGAGGGGTTGGGAATAGGGGTCAGACATTGAGGAGGGGATGCAGAGAGCGGGAAGGGGGTACAGAGGGTGGGAAGGGTCACAGGGTGGAAATGGGGGTCAGACATTGAGGAGGGGATACAGAGAGCGGGAAGGGGGTACAGAGGGTGGGAGGGGGTCACAGGGTGGAAATGGGGGTCAGAGATTGGGAAGGGGGTCAGAGGGTGGGAATCGGGATCAGAGATAGGGAAGAGGGTGCGGGGGGGTGTCAGTCGGTGGGAAGGTGGTCAGAAGGTGAGGAGGGGGTGCAAAGGGTGGGAAGGGGATTCAAAGGGTGGAAAGGAGGTGCAGAGGGTGGGAAGGGGGGGATCAAAGTCTGGGAATGGGGGTCAGAGGGTGGGGAAGGGGTACGTGGTGTCAGCCTCTTTGTTTTTAGCACTGCTTAGAATATAGGGTTTGACTTTCAGCAGTGCTCAAGCCACTCATGCTACAAACCTATAGCAAAGGGTGCATTTGACTGTCCAGTAACTGGCCATTTGGGTTGGATATTAGGGAAAATTGCTTCATGGAAAGGGTTGTCTAGCCCTGGCACAGCTGCCCAGGGCAGTGGTGGAGTCCCCGTCCCTGCAGGGATTTAAAAGCCATGTGGATGTGGCACCTGGGAACATGGGTTAGTGGTGGCTTTGGCAGTGCTGGGGAACAGTTGGACCTGATGGTCATAGAGGGCTTTTCCAACCTAAATGATTCCATAATTCTGTCATTCCTTGTTTACATGTAGTGACTAGAAGTCACTGGAAGTGACACTTGAAATGTCCATGACTGAAGGTTTCTGTTGTCACATCCAGCCCCTGCCTGTGTTAACACTGGCATTGCAGAATAGACTCTTCAAGTCCCAACAGCTCTTGAAAGTGTTTAGTGTAAAGTACTAATTTATGCTCTACATGGCTTCACTTTTGCATCTCTTAAAAATGAGGCAAATATGCCCTTTCTCATTTGCTCTGGTTTTGAAAACAAAATTGAAATTTATTGCAATAGGGCTTTTTATCTATTCGACAGCACTTTGCTACTTGACAGACCATACCTAAATAATAACATGTGTGTCAGTCATGGTGTGAGGTTTCAGTGGTAAAGCCTGTCTGGTAATTCTTGCAGTAATTTTGATGGCTCTACTGAGCTGGATAATACAGAGAGCACCTTGCCTATACTTGTTTGATGTTAGTTTTCTGTGCCTGTTGCAGGATCTTCTCTCATCTTTAACCACAATATTTTCGTACACTGTTTTTGCTTCTTAATTTTTTTTATGTTATTGATTGTTTTTTAGTCTTTCAAAATAGGGTCTGATGAACAATTATTTTTGTACCAAGCGTGTTTGAGAAGTGTTGGAGGGTTAGGGAATGTTTCAGATCCGCATTTGGCAGCAAGTGGTTAACAAAACCAGGTTAAAAGATGTCTTAAATGTAGTGTTTAGCAAGGATTCAAAGTGACCTCTGCTTTCTAGCCCAAAAGTTTACAGGTCTCTATGCATCTGATACTATTCCGCTCTTATCCAGTGTTTATCACCTTGGAAAATTGGAGACACTCTGGAAGTCTTGCCATGATAATGTAGGACAGTGCTAATTAATGGAGACTTAGAGAGAGCTGTCAAAAGACACAGAGTCCATTCTCACTCAGAATTTCAGCCACCCCTTGTTACCCCTCCTGAAATTCTGTGGAGGGAGTAGCATTTGTAGATGTCTCTCCAATCAAGCAAAATTCGGCAGGCTCTGGAGTACATTCCCTTAGGGCATGGCTCTGTGTCCAGTTTAATTCAGCATGACAGCTTGTGCTGCTGCTGCTTCATCATCTTCTCTTGCTGGTTCAGTCCAGCCTTCTCTCTTAGTCTCGAATTACTGTTTTATTGAGCAACCAGAAGGTGAACTCGTCACGGAGCTGATCCAAATGAAAATTAGCCCCTCGTTTTCTGCTGACTCTGGGTTACTCTTCAGCTGCCTCGGTTGTGTGACCTGCCCTGGTTTATTGGCCCCACGGTGCTGTTGGGAAGTGGGCAGCAGTGAGCACCTCCATGAAAGAGAGAGAGGTGTTGTTATTGTGAAAGGAATGTTTAAGGGCAAAGTTCCATCCTCGCCCCGGACTTTTTGCGAGGCAATGCCACAGTGTGTGCGATTGAGCAAATAATGTGGATAACAGACAACCTGAACAAAAGGGAGGAGGACGAGTTCTTTTAGCTTGGTCAGGTCCCTGAGCTGGTCTGCAGCAAAGCTTTGTAATCAGTTATTGTTGGCACAACTCGGAGGAGGCAGAGGGATGGGAATCAGTGGACAGGAGGAGCGGTGAAGGATGAATGTCAAGGCCTGTTTTGCTGCAGGGAAGACAAGCTTAGGAGAGCAGGGTTAGGTTGGATATTGGGAAGAAGTTCTTTTCTGTGAGGGTGGTGAGGCCCTGACACAGGTTGCCCAGAAAAGCTGTGACTGCCCCATCCTTGGAAGTGTTGAAGGTCAGATTCATGGGTCTTGAAGGAACCTGGTCTAGTGGAAGGT